TCAGCCTCCGAAAAGAGATGGCTAATAGAACAAATTGCCCAAGGAAGTTGTGGACTTCATGGATATTCTTAAGTTTAATGTAAAGTCCTGCTGTCTTGACCACTTTAACACTTTGCGGCTGTGGGAAATCTGGAAGTCAACATGGACACTTTTTGCTGTAGTCACCTGCCCTGAATGTAGGTAATTCTACCATTGCAAGGATTAAGTGAGCCAGCTCTATGATTAAGTGATTGCAAATAGCTGTTGTTGTTGTTATTTTTCAAATGAAGGCTAAGACTGTCACTTTAAAAACAAAATGGGGTGAAAGCGTACAGATCTGTAAACCTTTAGAAATATTTTGTAAATAATTTACAGTAAATAATTTGGGCACTAAATTAGATGGGGGTTTAAAATGTTCGATGCAAATATAGCAAGGCTGATATGCTTGGTTTTATGGGTTACACCAAAATCCTATACCTACTTACCTGGAAATAAGCCCCATAAAACTCAGTGGCACTTACTTCTGAATGGACATTGTTAGGAATGCACTGTTAGTTTCATTCTTATTTATTATATTTCTTAGTAGCTTTATACAAAAAAAGCAACTTAATATTACGAAATGCAACCCAATAAAATAAGCTAAAACCTGCCACCATCATTTTATTTCAATCCTGCCATATTTTGTTTTCATCCTAAACCCTGTATCTTTCATGAGGCTGCATAATCCCTTATGCCAATAAAGATATAAAAAAGCAAAAACAAAACAAAACACCATGATCCACAGCAGAAAGAGGGTACAGCCATAAATTTGTCAGAAAGAGTTAGATACCTGGTTGCTTCAGGTAAATTTAATCTTCAACATCCCTGCAACTTTTTGAGCTACTTTTATCCACATCAGTGTATTTGTGCCACGAAAGATCATATGCAGTGGTTAAAAAATATACAAAAGTCCAGAAGCTGGATTCAAGTAACGGGTCCAACTAGCAGAAACGCATGCAAGGACTTCTGCTAATGCAATGGGCCTTTTCCCCCTTCATCTTCCCATGTACCCCCCAGCACCCAATCGGCTCTGAAGGGGTTGGGAGAACTGTAAAACAAATGTGGAGAGGAGAAGGGGGTTGTTCTGTAAAGCAAGTGGAGGTGCTTCTGCTGATGAAACATTTGTAACAACTTCTCAGGTCACCTAATGTTCCTATTGGGCAGCCATGGTTAAGTACGGTAATTTGTTCATTTATTATTAACTGAATTTATATAGCCATCCCATAACACGAATTCTCTGGGTGGTTCAAAATAAATACAACAGTTGAAAAGCTATCACAATAAAAGCTGTTACAAATAAAAGGGACATTTTTTTTTTAAAAAAAAGATGAACATATTTTAAAATGGGCAGAACAATCCCAAACTCTAGATTCACTGACTAAAAGGGATTAGGACTGGAGAGAGGCATATCTCTGCCTGCTGACAGGAACTCCACTAGTGGAAAAGCTGTATCTGGCACCCCTCTAAGCTCACAGAAAACTCTTGGGGCAAATATGGTCTGCTGTTGGGGTTTCCACTGGCTCCAGCTAGTGCTAGACACAAAAGGAGGTGTTGTAAGGACAGGGCAAAGGCAGGGCAGGGATTTAGCGGCCTTGGATCCAGTGGAGAGTCCCCAGGAATGGACCCCCAATCCACACCATCCTGGAGTCAGTGAAAAAAAATGCACTGGGACAAATGTAAGGTAAGCCCCCAACCCGCTCAGCTAGTGCAGAAGCCAGGATGACTTGGGAAGTGGGAACCAGTCCACTTGGCACCCTGCAAATACCCACTGTAAGAGGATCAGGCCATATGACATAAGGTAGTTAAAAGGTCTGGGTGGACCAAATGGTCTTCATCTGAAAATATTTTATTTATTAGCTGAATTTATATAGTCTATGGTTTAGATACGTTTTGCAAACGTAGTTGGGGAGACAATGATCTAAGGCAGGGGTCAGCAAACTTTTTCAGCAGGGGCCGGTCCACTGTCCCTCAGACCTTCTGGGGGGCTGGACTATATTTTTTTGGGGGGGAAATGAATGAATTCCTATGCCCCACAAATAACCCAGAGATGCATTTTAAATAAAAGGACACATTCTACTCATGTAAAAACACACTGATTCCTGGACCGTCCACGGGCCGGATTTAGAAGGCGATTGGGCCGGATCCAGGTTTTAGTTTGCCTACCCATGATCTAAGGATTTTAATTCAGGATATAATAGTCAAGGCCCCAAATATTCAGTAAAGGTGATGTGATTATTTGTGGGTCAGCAACAAGATCCTTAGGGTTTAGACACCTGCTGGGGTGCCTAAATTTCACCAATTTCCATTTCTAATGGGGATAATGAAACTATGGATAAAAACATGTTGGAAAGGTTTTAAAATGTGCATCCAGGAATGGATGAATGTGCATGTATGTCGGAATTAGATGTAGACTCATTAAGAAGATGCAACTTTCTCCGGCCTGTATGTTCTTGGCATTTAGGAAGATTTGTTTGTTTGTATTAACTCTGTGTGGTTGTTGAGACCTCTCTGTTTCCTGAAATTCAGATACAGTGAGCAAAGGGTGCACTCTCTGAACTCAGCTGCAAACGAGTATTTTTGAAAGTGCTCCTGATTCATTGGAATTTTAAAGCCGTTAATCATAAACCTGATATTTGCATATTAATACCACTGTACTTTGTGTTGATATTAGAGATAGGATGAACTGGTTCCAAAGTATTTGCCTGTGGTAGCTGTAGACAAAGGTGTATTCACAAGCATGCAGAAGGCTGAACAATTCAGAGTCCAAAGGTACTGAGCGAAAAATGAAAGCGAGCGACAGGCAGGTATGTCTGCGATAAATACAAAGAAGGAGGTTATTGATTTGCAGGTGCTTGACTCGTCTGCATTTTAATTTTTATTTGAACATATCCATTTGTATGTAAAGGTAAAAATACCCCCAAACCTCTTTTACATTGTAACCACTATGCAGCTGCACCAAAAATTGGAGATCCTAAGCAGACAGAAGGCAGAATGAATTTGTTTGTGGTCTGCGTCACTTTTGCCTGCAGACATCCATCATAAGTCAGGATCTTCTCTGTGATGGTCTCTGGAATGGTCTCACCCTAGAAGTAAGGCACGCACCAACCGTGATGCAGTTCCAGCGCATGCTGAAAACTTTTCTTTTTACCATGGCTTTTACAGACTACTGATACCAGCTGTTATGGAATTTTAAGGATATTTAAAATTCCTGATTTTTAATTCCCCCCCATGCTTTAGAGTTTTTTATTGTATTTATATCATATTTTGTGCAATTGTCATACACCACATTGAGATGTCTGCACAACAATCAGTATATAAATATTTGCACCAATAAAGTTGTGGCCTAAATTTGCCCAGTAACCATTAACCTAATATCCGTGCCCTTGTGTCTTATTCGTCAACGAGGGGGCGGCTTCAGGGTCTTGACACACAAATATTTACACAAATAAATGTTTTTTCCCCTTCAATTCTATTCCCTTTCCACAAAATTTTGCAAATTTAAATACCTATTGTGGCAGCGCCAGCCCCAAGCTTGCTGCCACCCAGTGCTGCTAGTGTCTGGAAGGTGCCCCTTTACCCTGAGATATCATACCTGATCAAGGAAGTGATGCACCATCACTCACCCCCCCCTCAATCTGGGAGTAAACAAAGCATTCACCCCAATACCTTATCTACCACACAAGCTACCGCTACCTCACTGGCTCACCTCATTGGCTACCTACAGCTACAACCAATTCCGCAGACCCCAGTATACATCTAGCAACCAAGCCTCCTTGCCAGCAGATGATAAATGCACACCATCTGGTTGATATCAGTCCAAATGTAATGCCTGCGTGCCGCATGACCCTACCACCCAGACGCGCCACTGCATACCGCATTGCCTGGTCCACTTTCCATAGGACATGACCGATACGCGCTGGCTCCCTTGCACCATGCCAGTGCTGCTGCTACGGAGGCCCCCCCCCCCAATTATGGTTAAACATGGATGCACTGCCTGCAAGGAGTCAAAGTCAGAAGCCGCTGCCAGGATAAGATCAATGCATACACAGACTCCTCATGCTGATGCTGAATGTCTGGTCACTTTGTGTGTGTGGCTGGCATGTATCACTATCCAGGGGGCCTGGCTTGCAGGCACAACCCCACTTTTCTTCACCCTATTGATGAACGTCCTGGGGAGTCTTCTGTGAACAACCCCACTCTTTGTGCCTTAATGCTGACCAATGAGAATGCACATTTGGAGGGGCACTGCAATAAATGGGACAACGGCATCTATGTGCTCATTATGTACAAAATAAGTGAACCATATTAAGTTGGAATCTTGTGGCATATTTCTCAATCACCATTTGTGCCCCCTCCAATATTTAGAACAGGAAGAAGAGCGTAAACCGTTCGTCTCCATGTTCATATTTTCCTTCTTTCCACGATCATCATCATTCTGTCAAAGGTAGTTGGATGCTAATATAGTGCCTGTGCAAGTTGTTTGTACTTAATTGATCATATTTACTGGCACAGGTGAGTCACAATATTGTAACTATATGGCATGATGTATGCATATGAAGAAATCTTGTGTATTTTTGACCTACTTCTGGAAGCAGAGCTGGTTTGAATTGCATACCATCATGTGAAACTCACAGGTGGAATCTACTGGAGCTGAGGTCAACACTGGTCTTTCCTGCAGCAGACACAACACATAGTACTTACCTGAGCAACCCAGTAGAGGCTCAAAAGTAGAATCCGCCTACCTATGGGATACATCTGGCTTATTTGTTCTAACAGTTAGAACTGCACCTTGGCCTCATGACAGCAGTCAAACATCTCTGCTGCTGTTGCCATTTCCAATTGCTCCAACTGTCCTTAATCTACCCACTGCGCCTAGTCAATTTCCTTGCCTGCAATTCAGATTCAGGTAGTTAGCCACGTTGGTCTGACACAGTAGAAAGAAAGAAAGAAAGAAAGAAAGAAAGAAAGAAAGAAAGAAAGAAAGTCCAGTAGCACCTTAGAGACCAACTAAGTTTGTTCTGGGTATAATCTTTCGTGTGCATGCACAAAATCTGAAGAAGTATGCATCCACAGGAAAACTTATACCCAGAACAAACATAGTTGGTCTCTAAGGTGCTACTGGACATTTTTTTTTATTTATCTTGCCAGCAATGTTGCATTTCATAGCAACCAGATAAGATAGACTCCTCCATGTCCTTCATAGCCACCTAGTTGGGATTGGAGGAATGGTCACTGAGGGGAAAGGAAAACAACGATACAGACCTTGACCCATGTCAAGAGCTACAGCTAGTCTTGCTTAAAAAAACACTAATGTTTTACAACCGTGATTTATGGCATTGTGTCACAAATTACAGCCCTTTGTGAGAATTGGTGTATCTCAGTATAAGAAACTGAGCAGCAGTCCTGGATCAGATATTGCATCCACCTTGAATGGATATTGATCCACCTGGATCAGATATTGCATACACTCCCTAGGTTGCCTTAAGCAAGTCAGTGCCTTTCAACCTCCTATAATCAGGACTGGTTTTGTTTGGCATAGTCTCCCCCTCTGCAGCATGAACTCCTCCCCTTCCCTCGACAGCAACAGCTGACAGGTTTGCAGCATGACAGTTTTATTCCACTGCTGTAGCTGAAGTGATGGTAGCAGTAGAAGCAAAAGGCCACTCTAGCTGTCAAGGTATGATGGTAGCAGTGCTGGCTGAAGGGGGAAATGGTGGCTATTCAGCCCTGAGAGGAGTGTCAGGCCCAGATAACTGTAGCCACCATTTTGGGTTGACAACGGGGTCAGTGGTGGGCTCTCAGCAGTTGTTTGATAGGGCTGACCTATGATGTAGAGTCTGCTAACAAGTATTGGTAAAGATACAATAAATGACAACATAATCTACTCAAGCAATATATGCTAGTGGTGTATTCTTGACGTGCAGGGCTGGAAATTTGGTCAGCCCTGGCGCATGATCCCTTTGTTGGCTAGGCTGAGACAGCAACTTGTCCAAGGTCACCCGGTGAACTTTATGGCTAGTCAGTAGGGATGGGGAAGAAATTTTATTGACGTTGCATTCAAAGGTAAACTTAGAACTATGTGTATGCTGATGAATTTTCATATGGACTTGAATTTTTTAAAAACCCCAGGTTGATGTGGAAATATGGAGAACTGAACTTACAAATGGAAAAAATGGTAACTGAGAGTAACCAAAATTGACAGATTTTCCCAACCCTACTTGTCAGAGATGTGAACCCAAGACTTCCTTGCCAAAGTCCAACATCCTAACACCGTACCACCCTTTGACAAATTGCTATTCTTTGACCATCAGCTGATACAAATAAAACAAATGTCATGCTTATTTTGGGAGTATATAGCTGTACAGCAGTTTTCATTTTTGGACATATCTTGGGGATATGAGTATGGACTCTGGGTATGTGGCTATGGAGGCTGCACAGATTAGCACTTCAAATTTTACGACAACACCACTGAGAAAACCAGACCAAAACATGCTCATAGCAGCCTTGAACCACGACCAGCTGCTCTCTTATGCATGCAGTACTTGGAGTTCTATGTACGCTACTCCCACCACGCTTTAGCTGAGACCACAACAGCATGGAGAGTAGACAACAAATCAATAACATTCCAGGGATTTTAAGCTCTGAAAGCAAACGTGAATTACATTCGTGAATAGAATTGAGGAGTCCAGATTTGTAGACTAGATCTCCCACCCAATGGAGTCTAGTTTCCAGCCTCATGGGTAGACTATTGGTCAACAATGGAAAAGTTGTGTTTGGCGTCTCTGCGACAACTGAGCTACACTTTCTAATAGGGAAGCTCTGAACTCTTTTTATCCTGTGATGAGGCTATTCAGTTACATAGACCTGGCAACAGAATTTGGCATCTCTGTCTGCAGGCATGTGCAAAGGTGCAAAATTGTGCTACACCAGCCCACTCCTTTTGACTAAATGCAAAACTAAGCCCCGCCCCCTCCAATACCCACTGTGGCTGTTCTCTCTTATTAGTTTATATCCAACCCCAGCCATTTTTCTGAATGTGTCAATCCCATATATCTCTGGTACTCTGTTCCTCATCCTAGTCAGGTTAAAGAGGTGCAGGAATTAAAGCTACAGTTTGCTCACACGTGGTTTCCTTCACCTGGAGCCAGTTGGCACTGCATTCTTCTGTACAAAGTCTAAAGCGCAGCTACTTCTAAATCCATTTGAAGAGTCCCAATTGTGTGGAGCTTCTCATGGACCCAGTGCTGCATGGCCAGGGCTTGGCAAAGCAATGTACAAACTGTCTCTGTTCCGAGCAGATAGCAGAGGCTGGGTAGAATCTGAAAAGCACCATGGACACCGACACAAGTCTGACACTCTGGCTGCCCCTTTGTGCATTGATTGCCACATCCACAGTCACTCCTTGTGCAGGTATGCAGTTTTCGGTTTGTGCCAAGTTTTTGTTTTGTTCTGTTTTCTACCGTGCCTTTGTGGTGTGCGCACACAGAAATAATATGGGGAAAGGGAAGGCACAGAGACAAACTCTCTAATATATGACTTAGTTCAATGAGGGTAAGTGAACACCAGGGAGGAGAAAGTTAATCCTCCAGTGCTGGAACATTTGCTTGAGCTTGCAGTTAATGCAAATCTATTCCATACTGTTCGTTTTCTGGTTATTCCCCCCACCCACCCCCAAGCCGGTTTGAGCTGTCAGAAATGATGGCCACATTTCTGGAGTTTGCTTTTCTTTCTTCAGGTTATATTAACTGCCTGAAATAACTTGTCCTTAGCAAAAATAAAATAAAATAAATGGGATCGTCTTAAAAAACACACACACACACACACACACACGAAACCAATGCCTCATCCATTAACAGGGCTCTTTCTCTTTTGTTCTTGGGACAGAAGTGTAACCTGGTTAGACTTGTTTTGTTTGTGCGGGAAGGTGTGAGTTGGCTGGCTGTATGCAAATGTTTGCAATCCCTGTGGGGTTTTTTAAAGTTTTATTTTAGACGATCCAATCAGAATAACAGGAAGTGACCTAAGGAATTCCACAATTGGCCAGCTAAACATTCTAAAATATGTTTTAAAATTCATATCACAAGCATCTGCCTTCACTGCTGCGAGGTTTTTTGAAGTGATAGCCTGCCACCTATGTGTACCTAACATCTGGCATAACATCTGATCAGTCTTTTCGCTGCTGCAGCTAAAGGATTTCCCCAACAGAACCAGCAGCTAAATGAGGTAAGGGCTTTGAACGGCGTGCTGCTCAGCTCCTTTTAAACAAAAACTCTGCCACTAGGGATAAAATCTAGAGGTGCAAAAGTATGAACTAATCTCTGGCATAACGATGATGTTCCAACCCTTGCCTTGAAAAATGCAACTAAAATGTTTTGATCAAAGGATGTTGAAAAGCTCTCATTAAGAGATTTTGGCTACGCACGGGCAGCACAAATCCCATTAAAATAAATGGGTTTAAAATATCCTAATGATGTGCAGGATTCTTTGGCTCAACCAGCAGGACAGTGGGCATTTTGTTTTTGTTTAAAGTTGTTCTACTAGTGCTGCTGCTGCTACTACTACTACTACTAATATCTTTAGTTACAATGATTATTGTGCTATTAGCCCTGATTTAGTAAGGTAAAGTAGGCTAATGTTCAGAGAGATAAAATGTAAACAATTCTATTTGTTTTCAAGTATATACCCGGCGCCCCAATTGTGGGCATGCCAGCTTCTGTATACTGAGTTGCTCCTAATTTCTCAAGTGTCTCAAATTATATTTGTGGATTAGCATTGAAGTATGGGCATTGTAATCAGGTCTGCTGAATATAATATTGTTGCTGATCATCCGCAAATATATTAATTGCATGTCTGGTGAAGGAGATGTTGTAAGGTTCTCACAAAACCACTGGTCTGCTTCAACTGGGCTTCTGGGTCTAATTTTCAGATTGTTCCCTATCACCCAATTGCCATTATAACCAGCACTACTAATAATTTCATATCATGAAATTGTCTCACTCCTGTGCTGTGTTGATCGACAACAAATTTACACAAGGTTTCACAATGATCTTGGTCAGTTATTATTCATTTCTTAAGCCTAATTCCACTTCTTCAGTGGCAGGTCACCATGTTGAATCCATGTTCTTATAGTAATAATAGGTTAACATTCTTTGAGTTTCTGAATATAAGAATAGCGTATAAACAAAGTTATGACCTTCAGAATTTTCATCTGGTTGTATTGGTGTGTTCCTTTCCATTGGCTTTCATTGACATTTAGTTTGAATAACCATGAATCAACGACAGTAGTGCTATTTAAAATATTCTTTTCTACTTGCAATTCTGTAATGGCAAACTGCACAAATTGAGGTACATATTATATATGCTGAATAGGCACTTTAACTTGTTCAACAACTCCTCAGTCATATACGTGCAGGTTTTTTTAAATGCTTGATTAATCTAGAATATACTGTTTGGTATACCAAAGAGAAAACCTGAGTACATAAAATTAAGATATAACTAACTGGCCAATATTTTAACCTAACCCCTTATTTTTATTAACCACAGTTGTATTCTTATCAATTGTGCTGGTGGTTAAGAAGTGTTTTATGTCAAGTGGTATAATGAAAGGCATGCAGGCTTCTTGATATAGAAAATAAATGCAAAAGAGTAAAATAGCTTCAGCTGTGATATGCATTTTTTTTTGGAATAGCACAAAAACACAATGTGTGCAGATACAAAGCGGAAAACAAAGATTAAAACTGAAGCAGTTAGTCACTCTTTTTTATCCGGTAGAAGATGTTCTATTCCCATTCTCTTTTTGTTCTTCTTTTGACCAGCAGCAAATGCAAATTTGGCTGTGATTGTGTGAACACTTATCTAGAAGTAAGTCTTATCTAATATAGTGAAGTTAATTACTGAGTTAATTAATAGGATGGTGGAGTAAACATAAATAAGGTTGTAATCCTAAACATGCTTACAAAGGCTTAAGCTTCACTGAACACAGTTTTACTTCCAAATAAACATGCATGGATTTGCACTGTAAGGCACTGTTTACAAGCTAAACCACAGGCTTCTTTCTTTCTTTCTTTCTTTCTTTCTTTCTTTCTTTCTTTCTTTCTTTTCCTATCCTTCTTCCAATCTCAGGGTAGCGTAACTGGTTCCCCCATTTTATTTTCACTTGGATAAACAGTCATTTAAAAAAAAGAAGAAAAAAACTGTTTTCACTGAAAATGGTCAATTAGTTTAGAATTTCAACATAACTGCCCCAAACCAATAACCTTCTTTATGATAAAGTTGACGCATTTGTTAAGTAGTATTGCACAGACACACGGTTACTCCCCGCAAAGTCTTAAATTGATCACAAAGGAAGACTGATAGAGTACTGTGAAGAAAAAGCAAAGAAAGGGATTACAAGGAAATAGGAGATCACATTGTGTATGAAAAATTGCTGTGACATATGGTCTATTAATCCTGGAAAACACAATTCCCCAATATGCCCAATGATCATGCACAATCAGAGGAAATAAGCATAACATACCCTCCAATGTTCCTCAGAAAATAGGGACATTCTACTACAAAATATAATCATCAGAACACTGTGGACTTTTCTAATAGTATTTGTTTAAAAGTCAGATTGTGAACGACTAGAGACAGGAGTCTAGGGAGACATCTATGAAATCTAACTTGTCTCCAGCAAGGAGAAATACATTTCAATCAGATGGTTGTTATGGTATCCACCCCACTCACTCCCGGCAACCGGAATTGCTGGGAAAAGGGGCTTATGGGGCAGTAAAGGCCCACATGATTTGCCCTGCCTGCATAATTGCAATTTTCGCTCAAGCACTGCGAATTTACACCATGGAAAAGCCGTTCCTAAGCCACTGGGGGTGTGTTTGTGTGTGCAGAGGTTGTCAAATGAAGGTATGCAGAGAGGTCTTCTTGGCAACTGCTCCCCAGCTTTGAAATTTACTTTTTCCTCAGGTTCATCAAAACCTGGAACGAAGGCCACAAATTAGCAAGCTTTTAGTCGCCTCTGATATGTTTGGCACTATGTTATTGCAATTCTCCTCCATTTCCCAAGTATTACAGGTCGGGAGGCTAAGTTATGTTGAGATAGCGACACTTGAGACCACTCAGTCATCTTCATAGCTGAGCAAGAACGTCAGTTTGGCTTTTCCATATCCAGATGCAACACTAGGCCTTGTGAACTCAACTTGTCTGTTTTTGAGGAGAGGGTGAATTAAAAGGGCTTTAGGCTGCAACCTATAAAGTAAATCCAAGTGATCTCAGGGAGATTTTTTGGTATGCACTCTTAGGATTGCTCTTGCGTACAGCCAGGATCTTAAGACCTTTGGAAACAAATGTCACATAATTGCAGAAAGCTAGGTTCTAATGCAGCATGGGTAGAAGCCATTGAGGACTAAGCTGCCTAAGCCACAAAGCATGGGACATTTTTTAAGGATCAATTTTCATGAGGGAAAGGAGGTGAATTCAAAAGGGCACTATTATGTCTTGCAAAGAGGCACTTTTAGCATACATTTTAAAAACACACACATATTTCAATAATGAAATGTTGTAATGCATGTATTATAATACCCAATGAGCAGAACTGGGGTTTTTTCTAGAAAAAGAGGTGCTGGAACTCACCCCTTGTTCTCTTATAATGGCAATGGCATCCACCTGAGAGGTGCCGGAACTGAGTTCCAGTGAGTTCCAGCTGGAAAAAAAGCCCTGCAAATGATGATACTGGAGGAAACTTAGCACTACTCTAAAATGTGTACAATTCTGAAATAATTTTTATCACAAAAAAGAATACTGGCATAAATCTTGAATAGACTTACACACTTGTAAATTAAATATAGCTTATTTTCTGACCTATTTTCTGGGGTCTGTAAATTTATCAGCAGAAATGGCTCCCACTCTTTCTGGGGGCCATATATCTGCTTGCTTCTGCTTGTTTTCTCTCCTGCATTCAGCTGACTACTCTGTTGACCTCTGCAAACGTGTGTGTGTGTGTGTGTGTGCGCGCGCGCGCACCAGCGGACATGAGACAGAATTTGTAAAGTAGTCATAGCAATGAATTTGAAACATAACTATTTTAAGACTTCACCCGTGGTGCCTGACTACCTATAAACCGAAACACGTGTATAAGCTGTCCCATTACTATTTTTGGAGATGTGGTGCAGATTACTTGTACAGGATATAGAGGATATAGAAAAAAAACAAGGTTGTTGGAGGCAAATTTTGAGCTACATTACTGGATATGAAATACTGATAGAACCAATAAATATTATTTTGAATTGTTTTGAAGGATATGTGGATGTTGTATGAATGGCCACCAACCCCCTGACTGTGGAGGGGTGGTGAAACTATCTGCTCCTCAACATTATAAAGTTTTGTTGGATACAGCAATAACGCAGTATGTCTGAGCAAAAGATAATGTGATTGAGAACAAATGGGTTGAGAAATGAGCATTTTTCATCTCTTTTTGGTGGTGATGTTAAACCATATTCTTTGCTTCCCTTGGTTTGAAGGTGAATTGTATTAATTAACTGGAAAATGATTTATTGTAATGGTTAAGAAAAACCCCTTTTTCTTTTTAAAAAAGAAAATGTCATGAACTAAGGAACTCTGAGATGTGTTGTGCTTAAGATACCATATCGGGAAGGAACACTACTTTTTGTCTTTCAAGCAATAACGCCTAGAGTTTCAATAAAGAAATATTGCCATTTGATAGAAAGTCCCTGAAGTACTAAAGAGCAGCTGTGTCAGGGGAAACTCTTGGAAAGCTGGATTTCATTTCTTTTCATTTTTTAAAAAAGGCTTTTAACTTATATTGTAGAAAAGTATTTCAAGAAATGGTTAAAAGTTAAAAGTTGACAGCTAAAAAATTAGCTAGGCCATTTTTCAAAAAGAAATGTTTAAACTAGGGAATTAATTAGATAATTTCTATGAGTGCTTTCATTTGTGATGTCTTGTGAACATATGCGATCTGATGGACATACAAAAACATGTCTATGTGAGTTTCCCTATTAATTCCAATTGACTGGTCAGCTCCATGTTAATTTTTCTTTGCAAACATTTAGCTGCCTTCTCTAAATGAACAAGGAAAGCCACAAAGGTCCCTAGATCAAGGCACACATACCGGTAAATAAAGGTTATTGTAAGGTTAATTGTATTTCTAGTTCTCAGAAAGCATATATAACTCCAAGTAGTTGTGTTATTTGGTCAGCTTTTAAAGGCACAAAGTAAACATCATTAAGCAAATTAGATACATAGAAGTTGACATCATACAGTAAATGTCAACAGTGATAATAACAGCTTCATTGCTGAAGATAATACTTTTAAAAGTATAGTTCATTCCCTGCATATATGGATATAACCTAATTTAGATCTCTGTTGTACGGACTTCAATCATGTCTGGATATATTTGCTTGATTGTATCAAGATTTCAAAAAATGTCAGTTGTACCCTCATTTTAGTTTGTGAAATCCCAAATACCCCATTCCAAATTAAGGGCCACACATTTCATTCCCTATGCAAATCTGTCTCATTTGACTGCAGCTATGAAATGGGCTCAGTCCGCATCCTCAAAGCATTAGTACAAATACTTATTTGTGTCTGGGTGGGGTTAGAATTTTTCCTCTTTGATATCCTGCAGGCAAGAGGGTGGCATCTGAAGGACCACAAGTGGAAGAGTACCATCTGTTAATGTTTCAGCCATGGGAAACATATAATTGCAAGGTGCCTTCAAAGATGGGCAAAGGAAAAATAATGTGACGGCCTCTTCTAGACTGGATAGTTGTGAGCTGATGTGTCTTCTAGGGCATGTTGTGTGAGTAGAAGAAATGCAATTAAAGCTGCAATCCTATGCAAAGTTGGTAACCTATTGATTTCAGTGAACTCAAGTACAAACAGACTAGGGCCCACCCAAGGCATTTTGGCACCTCAAGTGGACTCCAAAATGGCCAGTGAAGAAGGGGTCAAGGAATATCTACAACAGGAACAAGTGGGGAAGAAAGATTGACAACTGGATCTGCTGCCCTAGTGGACCCTGCTGCCTGAGGCGGTTGCCTTGCTTTTGCCTCATGGGTGGGCTGCTCCTGAATAAAGATCTACATCAGAATCTGCTCATCTGTGGACTCTGTCTCCTGAAGCATTTGCTTCAACTTCAGTATCAAGATGTTGGATATTTTATATATAGTGGGTAATGTTGCTCTGAAATGAAACTTTTCTGCTCAACTCAGGCGCTCTAATTTAAAAACCAAGGTATACAACTATCTGAACCGGAGTAAGAAAACAATTTACCCAGAGCTCCTAATAAATTAATTTATATAGGGGATTGGTCACAACTCAGTACAGTGGTAGAGCTCATGCAAAAAGTCTTAGATTCTGTCTAGGAGAGCTGGAAAAGACTCCTGTCTGAATCTCCAAGAGATTCTGCTGGTTGGTGTAGACAATATTGAGCTAGATTGACCAACTTAGTCTGACTTGGACTATGTTCATGAAAGACAATCTTACTCGGCTATGAGTGATCGCCAAAGAAGAAAGAAGTACCTTCCTAGCTTCTTTATCTTTACCTTCTTTATCTAACTTTATCATGTCACTACAGTCCTATGCAGATAGCTACCTATTTTCCAGAACTTCTGATTGCCCAAATGTTTTGGAATGAGACACAAATGATTTGGATGTAGTCCTGCAAAGACATAGTTAAATAAAAATGAACAGCTATAAACAGAATCTAGGTAAAGGTGATGTAACTTGGACAAATGTAATTCAGACTTCTTTAGTATTATAATATATTACTACTGTATTGTTGTGACATTCTTTCATAATTAAACCCCAAACTATATGCAGAATGCAGCATGCTTAGGTTACAGGTGGATTAAACAGGAAGTGTAGTTGAAAACATGGCTTGTCAACTAATGGAGTAATTAACTATCCTGTTTTATATAAAAAGAGCCATTTTCCATTGGACGCAACTACTGGATTCCTAATTTAAAATAAATATGCATTTATTTCCTCATTTGGAACAGATGACGAGTGATAATGATCTACTTTAATGTGATGGCAGGAGTGCAATTCTAAATTCAAAGATCAAGAAGCTTTCAAAGTCTATCAACTATATGTTTATAAAACTATCAGATATAGTCTCAAAAGGGACTATAAGGGATAAGGAGAAAATGCTGTGTGGTTTCTTCCAAGCTTCTTGGAGGAAAAGGAATTAAGGAGCAAAATGAGTGATACCAACTTCACATATACACAGTTATGGTGATGGCTGCTGCTGAAACACCTCCGATCTGCTCTTTTGGGGGTAGGATCTAGCAAAGCTTCTCTGTTCTCTTTTCTTCTGGAGTGTTGGAAGACTATCTGCAGCTGACCGTGAAGGCATGCAGGGGGGATAAGGGTAACCAGGAATCCCTTTGCACATATTGATTTCCATTGTGTAAGCGGGTGGACATCATTGGATGTCATCCATATAGTCTCCATCCTAAGCGCTACATGGAGCTGTCTAGGGCTTCACTTGAATCTTTGTCTTGACTTTTCTGCATACTGCTGAGGCCATTGCTCAAAACAAATGCCTCATTCTGAAATCCTGAGCAAAGTGGTGGTGTGGTGATGCTCCATATAGCATTATTATTATTATTATTATTATTATTAGTCACCCATCTGACTAGGTTGCCCTAGCCACTATGGGTGGCTTTCAACAAATTAAAATAGAAAGAAGTTATTAAGAATTAAGGAAATCCTAATGAAAATATTCAACTTTTGTTACTTGAGCAAGGTTCTAGCTAGTACTTTATCTGTACTGTAGTAATAAATAAGATTAGAGCAAAGGAGTTTTATTAGCAAAAATCAATGTTAACATCATGATCCCTGAATCATGAAGCCAGAAGGCACCTCCAGATTCTACTACAGCTGCAGCACATGGAAATTCAAAAGAACACAGGACAGGAAAGATGATGCACTCTCCAGAGGCTTTCTTCCTACAGACCAGCATGAATACTAGCAACTAACATTTTGGTCCTGTTCTGAATAGGAAAAGATTGAATAAAATGCATACCTTTCATTTCCTGAGATGTGGGGCAGTAGAAGCTGTCTGAGTCACAATGACTTGGGGAAATAAAGGAGAAAGGCCACAATACTTGCTGGTAACTGAATTAACCTGGTTTCTCAGCAAGTAGAGGAAAAGATGGGGGTGGGGAATGAAAATATGGTAGTCTCTGCTTGGGAAAATTTCTTCTCCAGAAGAGAACAAATCTTTTCACAACAGTCCTACATGCTCAGGTTCCTAGTTTTGTGTCCTTTGCTTTCTTATGTTCTTAGCCAAAGATCCAGCCAGGAAATATTAATATGATGATTCTTAAAGTGATTCAGCTATATGTAAAACCTTTTTGTTGTAAGATGCAACCCTGAATTTGCATGAGTCCTAAATCAGCTTTGATATAAAACTGAATTTGGGCGAGTGACTAATTTATAATACAGTATAATTGCTCTCTCATGTCATCTAAAGACCGTGTAAAAATCAGCCAAGATGTTGTGGTTAGAAAATCCTATGTACCCAACATAATTGTCTCTTTTTTTATAATGTAATGGGTTTGACCAAAACATACAATTATTACACAACTGTATATAAATGATTCAGCATTCTGTTGATTCATCTTTGTTGTGTAACTTCAGAAAACTTTGAGAAATACAAGCATCTGACTGTATGGAGACAGGAAACATTAGGACAATCTCCCTGGCATTTGAATGCAAAGTTCAGATATTTGAACCTTTCTTCACAGGAATGAACCTTTGTAATATTTATAATATTTAGTATTATTTGGCATAGCTATAGTGAAAACATCCCTCAAAATATTTATGAAGGGGCAGGGTCTTTCTAAGTGTGGCAATAGTGTTCTGAAGCTCCCTCCCCCAATAATCTAGGTTGACAGTTTTTCAGTTAATTTGAAACACATCCTTTTGGTGAATTGTAAATATATTTTCATTTTGCTACAAGCATATACTCTACTGACACATACACACTCTCAATTATTTTATATGTATCTATGTATCTTTTATTACTTGTAAGTCAGCTTGAGGGCCAGTTTGACCCAAATCAAACTGAGGAGGCATAATTTCTGAGATAAACCAATAAATAATTTGAGTATTTAAGAGTAAGCATAGTAGTTGGAGAGTGCAATTGCACTGTGGATTTTAGAGTTGTCTGATGTTCTTTGATGATATCCTCAGCATCTATTAGCTATCCCTAGTTTTCAGAACTAGGTTTCCTAAAATTCTGTACACCAGGTAAAATAGATACACCAGCTTATTAGATTGTGTAGTGGGGAATGCAGGGGGCTTTCAGTCCAGTGGCCTCATCCAGCCCCCTCTTGCATATAAGGAATCTTGATGCAATGGTGCAAGATGGAATTTGTTTTATGCAAAACCACTTCTGTTCACCAGTAACCTGAAACAGCAGAGTAACACGGAAAACTCTGTTCCGCTATGAAGTCCTCTGGGTGGCCTCAGATAAATCACTAAGGCTACAATCCAGTACATATTCAGTGGGGCTTAAGCAATCCAACACTGAAAGAGGACAACCACTGCCTTTCTACTTAATTTATCTTACAGGGTTACTGTTAAATACTGCTCTGAACTCTATTTGGGAAGCACAAAATATAAATATAACAAATATATATATCCCAGTAGTTGGGAGACATTGTTCCATTAACCACTCACTGGAATGCAAAAATTCACCACCAGTCTTAAGTAGTTTCCTGCCAACAGTATAACCATCTTTTAATTATTTTTTGGCTGGATTTTGTTATAATTTACTATCCCGCTTGGCCAAGAGAATCTTGCCAATACAGTGGTACCTCTGGTTATGTACTTAATTCATTCCGGAGGTCTGTTCTTAACCTGAAACTGTTCTTAACCTGAAGCACCACTTTAGCTAATGGGGCCTCCCGCTGCTGCCACACAATTTCTGTTCTCATCCTGAAGCAAAGTTCTTAACCCGAGGTACTATTTCTGGGTTAGTGGAGTCTGTAACCTGAAGTGTCTGTAACATGAAGTGTCTGTAACTCGAGGTACCACTGTAGTGCAAAGATTTGGCTCATGCCTTTGGGGCATTTGACACATGCAGTATGAATGCACATCAGAGGTGGGTTTATGGCAGGCGGCTCAAACCCTACGTCTACAGAAGCATATGCTAGAGACAGAGCTTGCCACCCTAGAAGAATTTGTTCTATGTACTGAAAAGCTCCAGTCTCATGTGCATAGAGTACATTTTGACAATCAGGCACCTGCTGAAGCCCAGACAGGAGCCCAGACAGAAGCGCTGCTTTCTTCACTTCCACTTTGTACATGCGGTCAGTTATCTCCGACATAAACACACTTACAGTAAGAATCTGGGATATGATGTCTAGATCAGCTGCTGGCGTTTCCTGGCCTGTTTTTTTCTTTCTTTTTTGCTGCTTTGCCAGCTTGGGATTTGAATGTACGTAGAGTTGCCAGTAGCACTAGTACCTTAGTATTTGGAAAGACAGGTGTTGGTGCTCATAGGGAGGAGGAAAGAATGACTGACTCCATGCTTGCCATCTGGCGGTGGCAGTTTCCTCCTGGCTTGCCCCACCCTTTGGCCCTAGGAGCGTTCCTGAGAGAGCTGGTGTTTTTCTCTGGCCTGTTGTGTCTAGGTATAAATATTCTTTTTTTTGCTGGAGTTGGCGGGGCTTGCTTTGGATCTACTTAGGACATGAAGCTCACTGTTGTCACTTGTCCTGTTGGTAAGCTTTAGGCTCACTTTTGTTGCATTTTAAATGAACTGCTAATTACTGAGTTGTTTTGTGTTATGCTGAAGTGATAATACAACTTCTGCCGTGCGTTATGATCATGTGCAATTATTGTAGACTGCTTATTTCCAGTAAATCGTTTCCCCCAGTAAATCACTTTGAGCACAAATGTATTTGTGGAAAATGCAGGTATGTAGCTATGAATAATTGGCTACAGACTTTGCCCTGGAAGCCAATTGTCCCGGCTGTGGTTACGTAATGTCAAGAGAAAACACGGGGTGGAATTTAACATAGAACCAAGGAGATCATTCTATCAGTGCAAGCATTTCTGCTTGCTCTATGGAACAAACTCTCCTCTAACCCTCCAAGGCACTTTTCTAGGGGGGTCCTCCCAACCCTCCAAAATGGGTTTGGAGGGGCACACAGGGGCAGAAGACAGGGAGAATCACCACTGCATTAGCAAGAGTTCTTGTGCTGGCTTCCGCTAAAAGCTGAATCCCGTCCACTCTCCATTTTCTTCTTTATTCATATGTTCTAGGGAGCCTTCTCAGCCCAGCAGACCAAATCCAGAGCTCCCCAGCAGGCGATTTTTACAGGTGGATGGCGCTTCCCACCTGTCAATTACCTGACAGCAGATGGTAGGTGGGCATGGCTTGGGGGAAATGGCCCCCTACTGCTGTTCTAGGTGTGTGTGGAAAATGGAGCTTGAGGGGGCTCTTTGACAATCTGTTGCCTCATCACCTGGAGCTTGTTCTGATTCTAGCTTCCTGACCACATGATTACAAACACAGATGAGTAAATGTAGGATTTACCTTCCGATTTGGGGATGCATTTGGTTGTGGAGAATATAAAGTTTGTGTGTGTGTGCGCGCGCGTGCGCAGTTTTTGAGTATATTTAATTTAGCATTTTTTCAATGCAGTCTGCTCCTCTAAATGGTTTATTCTAACTTCAGACTTGTTCATCAGACTTGGCCCCTTCCCACCAACAACTCTCTGTTGAATGACTGGGAATATTGACTGAAATATCAACAGCAAGGAATGCTTATATACAGAATAAACAAACTGAAGCCATGTCACCCTGGCATCTGTGTCAATGGGTGGAAAAGACCTGCAGATGGGCAGCTAGCAGCCAATCTGTGCTTCAACTCATGTTCCTGTGACTTTTTAAAATCTGTGGTATGTAATTGCAAATCTATGCTCTTTGGGGTTTCATTTGGCAATTTAGTTACATATCCTTTACCACGCTACAATGGGTCTCACCTTTCTCCTCTTCTCTGATGGATTAATTCAGCCTTACCTACCTCACAGGGTTATTGTGAAGATAAAATGGGGTGGAGAGGAAATGTGTGCACGACCTTGAACTCCTTGAAGGGAAGGTGGGGTATAAATGCAAAAATAAATGCAAAAATAATACTAATAAATGCAAAGACAACTAGAGCAATCGTGTCTTTGCATTTATTATTAGTATTATTTTTGCATTACCCACAATTTTGGGTAAGGCATAAGTGATAGTTCCAACCATTGACCTCAACATGAAACAATTTTAGTTCCATGTTTTACATTGCTTTGTTTTTCAGTACTTGCTGTTAGCTACATAGAGATCCATAGAAAAACCTTTTGATGGCTGGCTGGTTGGACTGTTTTCTTTTCCTTAGCCATGATTTGCATATACCTATTATACCATGATCCTGAATTACAGAGAGCTTGAGAAGTCATTTGTTCCACAATGACTTCTCCTTTCATCACTTCCCTTTAATGCATTTGCTCATGGTATTGTCATTTAAGGGTAGTAGAGCAAAGGATATGGAGCGAATGAGGGGAAAGCTTGCTCACACTTCCTTCACAATTTGCACACTTGCTTATAGCTGGGCATTTGCTGTGTGCTGCTTGGGTTCTGGTTAATGGAAAAGAAGAATGTCACATCTCATCTTGGGAGACTGCTCCTCCTCCAATTGGACTCTGCATCTTGGAAACCATGGGATATTCACACCTGAAAGTAGAAAGCCATATACTTAGGAAAACTCTGTGGAAAAGTGCTCTCATCAAACCAGCTCAGGTTGCTGAGGCCTTTTTTTGCTTTTGTTTTTCAAATAGCCCAGCAAATCAAAGCATGGTGTGAGCTGTTATCAGGGCTAGGCAGCAGGTGCAAAAAATAATATAGTATAATAAATAACCATGCTGCCAAAAGGTAGGGTTAATACCCTTTGGAAGGCACTGAGAAGATAACAGAGAGCCATGCCAACAACTGAATTAACGTCTCTGTTTACGGTGAATTTTACCTTGACAACCCGTTTCCAGTCTTTTGACATATAAATGCTCCATTGTATTGAATCTAGTCTAATTTAAAGCAAGAACTGTGAGAGCTATTTTCTGCAGCAGCGTTGGAGGAGAAGCATTGGGAGGGGGTGGGGAGAGCCTTCTTCCTTGAGCTGATGAGCATAAATACCTTTTCCTTTCGCTGTTGTTGTGAGCACCACTGGTTTGACACATGTGCGGTTGGAGCCTGAGGAACTTTATTTGTGTGCCTGCTCCATGAGAGGTCAGGAGGGTGGCAACACGAGAATGGACCTTTTCTGCGGTGGCTCCCCATTTGTGAAATGCTCTCCCCAGGGAGATTTCCCTCAGCCAGGCGAAAACATTTCCTTTTAACCAGGTCTTTGGCTTCAGCTGATTAACTTTCTATGCCCTTTAAATGTGTTTTTGGGAGGATGTATTATTGGTTTTGGGACACAGGTGGCACTGTGGTCTAAACCACTGAGCCTCTTGGGCTTGCCGATCAGAAGGTTGGCGGTTCAAATCCCCACGATGGGGTGAGCTCCCATTGCTCTGTCCCAGCTCCTGCCAGCCTAGCAGTTCGAAAGCACACCAAAAAGTGTGAGTAGATAAATAGGTACTGCTCTGGTGGGAAGGTAAACGGTGTTTCTGTGAGCTGCTCTAGTTTCAGTGTCCTGTTGTGCCAGAAGCGGCTTAGTCATGCTGGCCACATGACCCGGAAAAACTGCGGACAAATGCCGGCTCCCTCGGCCTGTAAAGCGAGATGAGCGCCACAACCCCAGAGTCGTCTGCAACTGGATTTAACTGTCAGGGGTCCTTTACCTTTATTACTGGTTTTGTTTTGTTTTTATTATGTATTTTGTATTCTCACTTTGTGTTTTTATGTTGTTGTGAACCACGCTGTAATCTTTGGATGAAGGACAGTATACAAATTTAATAAATAACAAAAAAACTTTATTCACACTTTAATCCCATTGAAATCAGTGGGACAAGCTGGCCGTAACTAACTTAAGTCCCATTGTTTTCAATAGAACTCAGGCTTGGCCAATGTCTTTTGGGTCACCCAATCTATCATTTTAAGGTTTTGTTTCTTCAGGGTGGCATTCTGCTCACCACTCGGACAAGTGCATGTGCAAAGGGGCTAACTGCAGTCATTTTTAACAGCACATTTCTTGAAGCTGCTGGTTTGATTTCTACTTACCGTATATGGGATCTGGAGATGTATTAAGAAAGATAGCGATGGCTGACGCCTTTATGCATGCACTGACTTGACACTGCCCGAAACTGCACATGTCAAGCTGCCCTCAATTTCTTTTTATATGTTGTGTTGGAACCGCAGCAGCAAAATCTTATATTGCTTTCTTGATCTTAAATAACATTTATAGAAAATGAGCAAACATCTAGCCAGCGCACTCTTTAAGTCAACACCCCCTAGAATAAGGCATTGTATTGAAGTCTGCTTCTGGAATGCCAGACTATTTGCTTAATAAAAGGAGCATGCTGCATTTGCAAGCGCAAGAACATAACAAGAGCCCTGCTGCATCAAACTGGACTTCTGTGCCCAAATGTAGGGAACGAGTGCACCAGCACTCTCCCACAATCGCTTCCCTGCCTCTGATCCTGCAGGTGACATATAGCCATCACAATTAGTACACTTCGGGTCGTATCTGGTGTAGAGGTGGGGGAGAAACTGGATTCAGTTCCCATCTAAATGCGAACTTGCCAAATTTGCACTTTGTGAAACCACATGCAAACTGAAACGCAATCCTTCAAACTTTGCCATTGTCCCCATTTTTCACTGCAATTCAAGAAATGCATATGCTAGTTTAAAGTGTGCATATAAATGTATACAGCAGTGAAAATAAAATTCGAAAATTGCATTTAAAATTGTGTATGGGAGAAATTTGCACTAAAATGCTGATTTTCCAAAAAATATTGCAAACCAATGTGTTGAATACCGAACTTAAGACTGGGAAACAGAAAGAAACCAAAACGGACATCTTCACCCATCCCATATCTCGTGGTGAATTTGTGCTTGTGGAAATGCTTAAGGCAAGGCACCCTATATTTGCCAAATGCACTGTTCTGTGCCATATTCCTTGCTGTTCCAGTGGGTTCTCCAACTCACAGGAGAAGCTCTTGGGGGCAGGACACACAGAAGCTGCCATTAGGTAGGGGAGATCAATCAAAACCAAATGCCCTTTCTTTGCTCAGGAAAACCACCACTGAATACAATCTATCATAAGGTTGTATGGTTTTGTCTAATCTCCTTTTAAAGTTAACCAAGCTGGTGGCCATTACTACAATCTGTGGCAGCAAATTTCATAATTCAACTAGGCATTGCATGAAGTAATTCCTTTTGTCGCTCCTTAAGTTTTTCTCATTAAGTTTTGTTGGTTAATGCTGGGTGCTAATAACATGAAAGAAGAAGTGTGCATAATGTTATGCACCTTTATCATGTCCCGTCTTGCCCCCCGCCCCATGAGCCGAAAAGCCTCAAATGTTGTAACCTTTCCTCCAGCCCTTGATCATTTGGGTTGCCCTTTTAAGCTATTAAGCTAGACAGTGCTCTCCTTCATCATGAGAATGCTTTCCAGAATATATAAAACTAGCATGAACATTCGTAACAAAGACAAAGAAGATATTCATTCTACCCAAATGCCAATATGTATAAATATTTACATGACTAGCAGCCGCTATTTGAACTGGAATGAAACCTTCCACTCCCACTACTGGGATTTCCCCCCCAATGTGAGAGGGAAATCTGGATTTGGACCAAAACTGTGACAAAGGATGGAAGCCCCCCACTAATGGTTTTTCAGCACACATGCACCTTTTGTACTTTTAAAAATCATTCATGCAATTGCACAGTGTCTAATTTGGCCCTAAGATTTTTCTGAGTATTGTTATCTGATCTTACCATGCTCATTTGAGTAGGTGACTTGCACAAGCAGGAATCTGTGTTTTTGAGCTGGCACTTATAACAGCTAAGTGCTAAGCACATCTAAACTGAAGATAGCTATGGACAGCTTCAGACTTCCCTTCAGACTTACCCTACCACGGAATGAGCCCATAGGATTAATGGGAAACCACATGGGGAAACAATAGATACTTTTGACGTTTTCCTACGCCACAAGAATTTTAATCAAAATGAACAACTATGTTCAATCCAGAACATGTACAATCCAGTGTACTGAGTATGATGTCATCCAGATGTTGTTGGATGACAGCTCCCATCACCCCTGACCATTGGTCATGTTGGAACACTTACAGGAAATAGTAAAAGGTAAAGGTAAAGGTACCCCTGCCCGTTCGGGCCAGTCTTGCCAGACTCTAGGGTTGTGCGCTCATCTCACTCTAGAGGCCGGGAGCCAGCGCTGTCCGCAGACACTTCCGGGTCACGTGGCCAGCGTGACGAAGCTGCATCTGGCGAGCCAGCGCAGCACACGGAATGCCGTTTACCTTCCCGCTAGTAAGCGGTCCCTATTTATCTACTTGCACCCGAGGGTGCTTTCGAACTGCTAGGTTGGCAGGCGCTGGGACCGAGCAACGGGAGCGCACCCCGCCGCGGGGATTCGAACCCCGACCATGTGATCGGCAAGTCCTAGGCGCTGAGGTTTTACCCACAGTGCCACCCGCGTCCCTACAGGAAATAGTAGCATTCTATATATATTTTAGGCTAACCAACCAGTCTAGAGGAATGTTTGCTCACCTGCGTTATGAAGTAGCGACAGCTTTGGGGTAGATTCATATAAATGTAAGACTGATAGGAAGAGAAGCTTGCTTATTCAGGAAATAGCTACCTACAGCATCATTATCAATGAAGGTATTTACTTAGCAGGCCAAACTTAACACAATTCATGATCAATCTCGCATCCATACATGCGTCATCCTTTTCAAAGGTAATCTAAGCTACTGGCCACCAGCTACTAGCCACTGGACTGAATGCCAGCCTCATCTGTGCTTTACCTGAAGGAATGCTTCTGATTGTTTGTCTTTTTCCTTATATAGTGGTACCTCGGGTTAAGTACTTAATTTGTTCTGGAGGTCCATTCTTAACCTGAAACTGTTCTTAACCTGAAGCACCACTTTAGCTAATGGGGCCTCCTGCTGCCGCCGCGCCGCTGGAGCATGATTTCTGTTCTCATCCTGAAGCAAAGTTCTTAACCCATGGTACTATTTCTGGGTTAGCGGAGTCTGTAACCTGAAGTGTATGTAACCTGAAGCATATGTAACCCGAGGTACCACTGTAATTATAAACTAAGGTGGCAGTGCATTAGTAGGTTAGGGTTACCCTGATTTTTTGCTGATTCCCTCTTTCCTCTACAGCCCACTACACCATATCCCAGGCCATTATGGAGGGTACAGTAGCTACCAGGAATGGCTTTTGGGAAGGCATGGGTGACTAGAGTGGGGAGAGAGAGGCGGGAAGTCCGCTGACTGAAATCAGGATCCAAGTCATTGGATTTTATATCCATACCATTTAACTTTAAGGGCTTTTAAAAGGTTCTCGCAATAATAACAGCAGGTTAGTTACTGCTGCCGTCAAAGATGCTAATCTTTTCATATGGAACAAAGTGTTATATTTTAGAACAGTAATGTGGATTGATAGGGACCTGCTCATATTCTGTACCCCTTCTCTGGATTGCTACTGAAACTCATTCTCGGAGCACTCTGTCCTTCAAGCTCCCTCTTTTGTCCTACCGTTCTACAGTCAGCGTTCATTTATTTCTCCACGCATTCCTTCTCTGACCATCGCTAACCCTATTTGCTTTTTATTAATTCATAACCTTCCAATCTTTTGCCAACTACAATCCATCTTCACCATGGGCCATAGAGCTGGGTGCCAATGACTTGCGCCCTCCTTGCAATGAGTTTTTGTTTTTTGTAGTTGTGTCTTGTGCCATCACCCCAATGCCTCACAGGATGGGAGAAGAGAGGCTGCATGGGAAGGCAAAGCACACACAGAGCTCCTACCTGCCACAATGGTCTCATGCATCATTGCTTGCTCAAATGTGCCAAGAGTTGGTGGGTGGGGTTGCAGGACTCTGTGGTGCCCTATGACTAAGCTACGTGCAGGTGCTGTGCCTCAGGGGAAGGATCAAGACCTTTGTGTTTTATATCTTGGTCCCATGTGAGTCCGGGAGCGATCTAGTTACATTCTGTTCTGGAATCCATTGTTGATGAATAAATATTCTAATATGATTATATTTATTAGGGTTGGGTTACATATGAAGTTTGGAGTGTATTTACTTTCTTTATTGTAATCCCAGCAGCATGTGGCTGAATAGGTTGGATTTGTCAATTTTCAGTAATGATGGGCCAGCAGAAAGTGGCCTCTTTGAACCCTCTAGTTTGATGGGGAAAGTCGCTTGATTTAGTTCTCTGGAAAAGTGGGAAATTAGAGTTGAGTAAGCCGAGTTGAGTGGCATCCAGCGAACCCCAGTAATTGTAGTTGTAAGCCTAACGCAATCGTCGTATTGCAGAACATATACAGCACTTTCTCCAAGCACAATTTATCATTTTATTTACTTGCTCAAATGTTTAAGGCATTAAGGCACCACCACTCCAATAGCATAAGAAAACATCTTCCTCAAGATCTTGCTCCTGGTAGCCAGTTCAAATCTCACAGGCATATATGTGAAATTAAGAGTTTTTGCTCCAACATGCATCACTTTACACTTGTTTGCATTATTAACAATAGAAAAAAGTGCAAGTCCAAATACTCATCCTTGGGGGACTTCACTTTCTACATCTCCCCATCAGGAGAACTTTCGTTACTGATCCACAAGAGGATCTCTTTTCCTAGTCCATGATTGTTAAATTTACTCAGGAGTATCTGGTGAGGTACCTTATTAGAAGCTTTTTGAAAGTCCAAGTGCACTATTTAAACTGATCACCTCTATCTATATGCTTGTTGGCACTCTCAGAGAACTCAAATAGGCAGAAGACATGTTCGCTCTGCTTCAGCAAAGCTTATCCTTCTATGTGCTTCGTTATTTTATCTTTAGCAATAATTGCCAAATGTTCTAGGGCAGTCATTTAGAGAATCTAGAAATTTTACCTCATTGTCATGACCAGTCGATGTGAGGATAATTGAGGTTACCCAACATTGCAACATTCCCTCTTTTGGATACTTCATTCTTCAGTCTAATACAAAACAGTCTTGTAATTGCCTCAAACTCCTGTCAGATAGAATGCATACAATACAACCTGTAATCTCCTCCAAAAGGATTGCCAATCCTTCCTCAGCTCTCAGCAAAATATTAAAATTTAGGATCTGAATTCAGTGAGCTTCCTCATTAGCAATTGTTCATTTATGATGAAAAACATACATAAATAATTAAAATTACAGATCACCTTATGATGCATATATGTTGATCAGTCAACATAATGCCACATATATGCATATCTTAATTAAGAAATACATATTCAATCCTACAAAAACAAATTAGAGTTCACAAGCCATTCCAGATTTTCAGGCTGTGACATAAAATAAAATACTACAAGGGCATCAAAAATATATTTACATAATTTAAACATACAGTTTATTAAAAGAAAACATTGCAGACCACTTATTCCTTAGCATTTTCTAAAACTAAAAGACTCAGGGCTGGGTTCAATTAAGAAGAACTGAGCTCTGGGGCCAGGGCAGCCTGTCATGAATGCTCTGGGAGTGAACCTGAGGGAAGGCCAGTTCCCAAGGGAAGCCCTGCATACAAGTCTGCCTGCCATTGGCCAGTCTGAAGGCAGGCTTGGGTCCAATTCTTGGCCAGCGAGGTGAATATTCAGCTGGCTGGGCAGCTCCAGCGACCAAAGGCCAGGCCAGACCATGGTGGGGGTTGCCAGGCCTGCAATGCTGCCAAACCTTGTAAGGCTAAGACATTTTCATTCACCCAGGCCCTTATTAATTCAACTAAGCCAACGTGCTTGTGGAAGCAAGTGCAAGGACTCCCACTAGTGCAACAGGGCTTCTGGGAGAACCCCAGAACAGCATGGAGGAAGGAGAGGGGAGATTGCTCTGTCTGGCAAGCAGAAATGCTTGTGGTGATGGAACATTGAATTTCTCCCTCTTTTGTATCTTCATCTGCTGGGGTTATTTTGGTAGGGTGATCTGTTGTTCAACATTGGGTAGGAGGGAGATTAAAAATTACTGCTGGGCGTGCCCAAGTCCCTAAAAGATATTCTGACCACAGTTTTCAAAGTTTGGCGTGTAAACCAGCAAATGGCTAAAATTCCTGCACAAGGGTGATATAATCCACTTGGCCCACACCTTTCAAAGTTGGAACATAAAGTAGAGTATTGGTAGCCCACAAGCTTCTCTATTCTAAAACCAGGAATTGGTGGTGCAAGCACCCAAATCAGAACAGTTTGGTCATCACAGCTAAACTACTGTTGTTGAACGAGTCAACCTTGTACACTCCCCACACTGTGATAGTATTGTTCCCTACATAACATTCCCAGTGTTTTGGTATTACACATGTCCTGATATAGCAAGACGATCCGAATTGCCGCTAATCAAAACAAGAGTAATTGATTTCAAATGTACCATCCGTCATCATCATTGTCATCATTTGTTAACAGGGTAAATTAAACATATATAAACAATGAAACAGAAAATGGAAAACAATCTATAATGCAAAGGGTGGAACTCAACATGGTTGTAATTGGACTGTTCTGTCAGTGCCAAACAGAATGAATTCCCCTCTCTTCCCCTGCATGCTGTTCTGGTGGTTGTCCTGTGGGAGTAATAGATAGCACACAGGGTGGAAGGAGAGGAGGAAAACCCCGTTGCACTAGTAGGAAGTCTTTGCACTGATTTGCACTAGTGCACCGGGTTAGTTGAATCCAGCCCAGACTATCTAAAATGCTCCTCCAATAACATAATAATCACAGGTCTTACCCACTCTAATAAAAGATGAGAACCACCATCTTCATTACCTGAGGAAAGAAAAGGTCTTAGCCTTTTGCCTAGAATGATGGTGGTAGTGCCAGGTGTGTTTCCGTGAGGAGAACATTTAGCAGATCAGCATTTCTGGGTAAATGTAAATAGTCTTAAGCCTATGAATTCTGAAATTTCTGTTCGACTGATGTGTGTGTGTATTGCCTGAGAAATATATTTGTGTTTCTTATGGATTACTTATTTATTTCAATGCATTTCTAAACTGCTTCATAATCTTAAAATCTCTAAGTGTGTACACTATGTACAATACAAAAACAATGTCCATGAAAAATAAAGATACTGCCTACAGTCAATAAATCAGTATAAAAACATAAATGCAAATAAGGCAGATTAAGGGGATTAATAGACAAAAATCAGGGTCCAATCTTATGGGTCAGGGAAAGCCAGGACGAAAAGATAAGTCTTTGCAAGACATCTAAAGCAACTGATTTTTGCTGCTTTGAGTATGCCAGAGGGAAGGCTATTCCACAAAACAAGGGCAACAGCAGGAAATGCCTGTTTTCAGGTCCCCATCCTATAATATTCTGTAGGGTGCGCTACCACAAATAGATTTTCACCAGATGATCTAAGTGATCTTACAGGTCTGTACAGAGGAAAGTGGTATTTTGGGTAACCTGGTTCTGAGTTGTTGATGTCTTCATATGTTAACAACAAGGTATCGAATGTTGCCTGGTAATTGATTATTCATAGGAATATAGGTTAGCACAATGCTAAGGGGCATTGTTGTAGTCTAAGACGCTGAATGAAATATTGTGGCTACTGGAAATGCTTCTTAAAAAGTAGAAAATTTTATGACAGGTCTTCATGGGATATGGGCATCCATCTATCTCGGGACACAGTGAGGGAGTGTGCCTTGGGGGGGGGGTGAGGTTAATCTGTTAGAGAGTTAAAGTGCCTGCTGTGGTTGTAGAGACCAATTCAGGAGAGACATGTTTGGTTGCAGCTGGGTCAGATGAAGGTGTCCAGTTGTCCCGCTGCAGATACACCATGGCGTTTCTTCCTCTGAGCTCCACCCAGCAGCCATTCCTCCTCTGGTCACTGCTATGGACGCACAACCTGTATGTCTCCAGGCACTGTGGTCGTCTGCAAGGGATTCCCACACAGAGTGCCTGTGCCCAAAGCCAGCTCCTCATAGAGCACACATCCTTGGGGATCCTGCCATTTTCCATTCGGTGGACATGACCAAGCCAGCTAGAAGTTGCCAAGACAGGAGTGCGAACTTGTTGGGAATGTGTCCTTGGGGGAGCACATCTTTGTTTGAGACTCTGTTCTGCCATGCAATGCCTGGAATCTTCCTGATCCATGTGAAGATATTAATAATCAACAATTCTTATGCAACTTCTTGCTGGGCTTTGCCTTCTCTTCTGTGGATATAGCTATTTCCAAGAACTTTCAAATGCAATGCAGCTAGCTGCCCCGCCTGGCAGGATCAGGAGGGCTGCTAAGACAGGGTTTGGACTGAAGTGCTACTCACCATATACTGTAGTCCCATTGCTCTTCATGACTATCATTGGTTGGATTGGGGCCATTAGGTGTGAAACAAGTTAGTTGGTTATATTTCTAATCCCGTTTTCAGGCAACTATTATTTCCCAGGAGTTCACATTAATCAAAAATAATGAGAGACAGGCCCTGGCTTCAGGCTTATGAGCTAAAAGACAAGAAAGTAGGGAGGGAAAGATATAAAGAAGGAAGGTCAGTGTGACAATGTCAAAACAATGTTGTGGGGTTCAAACCGGAATTTTGCTTTCAGTTTGGCCCTGGTCTGGTTTTGGAAGTAGTAAAACACAGCCTAGGGAGGGGGCTTTACAGAGAGTTGGGACTACCATCACATCTGCATCCCTGCCATGCATGGTGGCCAGGGCAGAAGGCGGGGGACACACAGATTGCTACACCAACCTGGAACTAGTGTAGTGTTTGGGACTGGATCAGGACCAGTATTGTCATGTGACAACAGCCTGCCTGGTTCAGGATCCAATGGACCCTGAGTTGGTTCTGGCCCACCATTTCCCTGCCCCTCAAAAGCACTGTTTGGGGGCTTTATACAGCTTATCAACAGTGGCACACCCACCCACCGGTTTGGGCAGAAGGAGAAGCTCTATGCCAGGTTGGTGGCTGGTAGGTCATGAGTGGAAGCTACCAGGGCTCCAAATTACCCTTCCCCTGTCCAACGCAAAGGATGTTTGTTAGTAAAACTCCACAATACTTTTGACCAGTTGTTTTTATTATTATTAAAGATTTTCTTGATTTACAAAAGTGTTTGCAATGTGTCTCGTATTTTTTCCCATGTAACATTTTTACAAATCAGTTTCATTTGTTGAGACATTAGGTAGAAAAGGGGGAAAGAGGTGGAGGAGGGGCAAGATGGGTGGGGGTGGGGTCGGGTGGTGATGTTTCTAGTTTACTTACTATATGTAGGGTTTGGTGTCAGTGTTGCTTGTGCAGGTTCTTTGCTGTTTGCTTGTGTTCCTTTGGTGGTGAGAGAGGTTGGGGTTGGCCTAGGGTGTGGTTATTCATTTGTGGTTGGCTGTGGTGGTCTTTGTTTTCATGTGTGAGTGGGGTGGGTGGGTGTTTTGGATCAGGTTAGCCATATTGATTTGTATGCTGTTGGTGGATTATTGTCGTTGTCTTGTTGGGCTGTTTATGTGATAAAGGGGAGCCATACCGGGGTGAAGGTGTCTTCTTCTATTTGTCCTCATGTCAGTTTCAGTTTATTGGTTAATTTTTCTAGTAGGGCTGTTTCCCATACTATTTGATACCATTGGTCCATGCTGACTCCTGACAGGTCTCTCCAGTGCCTGGCTATGATGCTTCTGGCTGCTGAAAGTAGGTGGGTTATGAGTTCTTTGTGGTGTAAGTGGGCATTATTGTCTTGGAAGACGTTTAGTAAGGTCAGTTCTGGGGTAGTTTCTAATACTTGCTTGGTTATTTTACTTATTTCTTGTATGTACAAATTTTAAGAAAGAGACCAGTAATTCTATAAAGCATTGAAAGCTTGTTTAGAACCATCTCTAGATTCCCTGACGGAAACTTGGGAAACAGATGCTGGTTTAACAGTTCATATGAATCAATGGTGAAAGCCTTAAGATCTATTTCAATGTCATTTTGAAATACTGTATTGTTAGACTGATCCAGTGAATGATTGCATTTAGTATTCCCATGAGACTCTGGCAGAAGAATTTGGCAGTGGGTAGTAAATGTTGGTTGGTGCTGTGTGGCTCCCAGTGCTTTTCTAATTCATATGTTATGGAGCTGTTGTTAAGCCTGGAGGTTTTTCATAAATTATAGTATAATTCACAGAGTTGTATCCATGGAAAGCACGCCTTTTATGCAAAAAATCTTTGAAGTATTTCCTAGAGCCTGGGATTGAGAAGATGCACACACATTATTGTTAAATCAGGCTTTTCCGTTTTTAAAAAGTCTCGTAATACTTGACATCAAATGTCTCTCGAAATATACAACGTTACATTTCTGTTTTGTGTGTGTTAGCAGTCTGAGAGCAAATAGTGTTTATTAAGCATAGCAAGGTAAAACATTTTGATAACATTTAGAACACTTTCTTACATTGTCTTTCTGCTTATCTTTGGTCCAACTTTCTGTCTAGTTGTCTATTTGTTAATCAAGGTTAATCTTTAGCCTGCATTTTATGTTGACATAATATAAATGTTGTTTATTCCAGATGTCCGCATATATGACTGAAAAATAAGTTTTAAAACACTTTTTAAAAAGAGTGCACAGCTGTTCAGAACTTAATGTTTTTTTGGCCCTTTATTCCAAAGTTTTAATGTTTAAAGTCATCAAGAAATTATTGCACAAATTGAGGGAGCAATCCAAATTTAGGGAGTATGTGCTTTATTTGAGGGAAAATATGGTTTTAGTATATAAAGCTTTTAAACTCAGGTTTTGGAGCGTCAAATAGCACTAAGTACATTTTACTACTCAAAGAAAGATCGGGGGAGGACATTCAGCTTTCTTTCTTTCTTTCTTTCTTTCTTTCTTTCTTCCCCTTAATGTCTTTCAAATGGCAGTACCGTAAGTAAAGGTAGGTTGCTGTCTTTTTTGTGTGTTTTTTTGTTTTGTTTAATTCTGCTTCCTTCCTTATTACAGCTTACTCTTTTATGGATGGGTGGCTGTAGTAACTTGATTCATGCATATGAAAATCAGGCACAGCAATGTTTTGCCAGTAGGAAGTTTTATTTCAGCCAGAAAGGGGTTGTGGCAACTTGTTCCTAACCTGGGCTGTGGCATTTACCATTGTTTGCTTTTGATGGGATATTCTTGGTATTTGTGGAGCAAGAAGTTTGAGCTAAGTCAGCTGTTTGGTTCATTTGCAGATCATGATTTTAGAAGGAACTGGCAGAATGAGTCTTAATTCAGTCACAAGTCTTCTCCACGAGCAGCCATCCTGGACAGATGGATACCCCACATGTCATGGTAGGAAGAATTCACCCGTGGTGATCTGTGAATCGACTTGGGAGTTGTAAACCTTTATCTTGCCCTTATTCCACTTGGGGGAAAACTATCCAGTCTACTTTACTGCAGTATTAATGTTTGCATTACAGTTTTACTGTATTCCTTAAAAAAAAAAAAACTTAAAAATTCCACGCTACCAAAATGGAATGCAGTGTAACCAATGCAATTTATATTCCATGGTAATTTATTATACCCTATTTATTCCTGCTATTTATATGGAAGATGATGATTATACTCTATATATCACAACATTTTTTTGGGGGGGGAACGGTAAGTAAATGATAAAAGTAAAAGTAAACAGTAAGTAAATGATAAAAATCCATCAATTAAAAACAACAGAGTAAATGAACAGAATAACTATAATATAATATAATATAATATAATATAATATAATATAATAATATAAATTTCCTGCAAAGGAGTGTACTGTCAACAGCAGCCATGATGCATACTGCTCCCCAATAAACACCGCATTCTAATCTAGCCATGACATCAGGAGAGATCATTTGTACAACTTGAAATTCTCCATTCCAATTCTGACTGTTTTAGTTAACACTGAGTGGTGGTTGTCGGCACTGAAACTCAGGATGCCACCTATGGCCAGAAGTTATTTGGGGTGAGATAAACCTCTTCATTTGGCACAGGACTGAAATCTACACTAGACTTGCTCTCAAATAGGTCACGTATGTAGGACAGACTCATTAAAGCCTTTCTGTCATTAAATGCTAAGCAATTAGACTAAAAGCCCCTAATTTCTGTATGTAGAATATATTCAGGTGTTTATTGGAGACAGCAGTTTCCATTGAGTCTGCTGTTGACGGTATACACTTTTTCATGAAGTTGATTTGAGATATCTATCTATCATCTATCTATCTATCTATCTATCTATCATCTATCTATCTATCTATCTATCTATCTATCTATCTATCTATCCATCTCCCTAATTTCTGTATATAGAAATATATTCAGGCTGTGAATCCATGTAGATCTAACTTTTAAAACGTTTTCCTTAACTCTAAATAATCCATTTATTTATTGCATTTATGTTCCACCTTTTTCTCCAAGGAACTCAAGGTAACATACATGGATCTCCCTCTTTTTATTTAATCCCCACAACAACCCTGTCAAGTAGGTTAGGATAAGAGGCAGTGACTGGCCCAAGCTCATACCCAGTGAGTTTCATGGCAAAGTGGGCATTTGAACCATGGCCAACAGGACCTAGTCTGACATTCTAACCACTAGCTCACAACACTACCCTTAAACCTGGTCACATAACGTAACTATTAGTCAGTTTTCTTCTGACAATTCACCATACAATTATATTTCTCCAATTATTTTTTTAAAAACTATCTCTAAAAGAATTTCTGGTTATTTTATTTTAAAATCCTCATAACAAACTCTTATTGCCAACTTTCCTTTTATCAGCCATGTTTCCTCTTGAAATTGATGCTTCACAGTTGATCCAGTTTTTGAGTTGTCTGACAAAAACAGAATTTCTCAGTAAGGATATCAGATTCTGAAACTTCTTAAGATTCACTTGTAGTTTTGAATACAAACACACCTAGGTTCCCAAGTCAGATCTTCCTCCAAAAATCACATGAAGTGTAGAAAAAAAGAGTCATTTGCTTGTCCATTTTTTTTACCAATTTGGTTATGCACATGGGTGTTGCCAGATGGGGCAAATGGGACACGTTTTGCCTATCTAGAAATATACTTTGCCCCTCTTCTGTCCTCCCACCCTGATCCCACCTCCCCTGGTTCTGCCACTACCTATGCATTATTTAGATTTAGAGAAGCTAGACTACTCCTTATATAAAATGAGGTATAGGATAAAGCCCTTGCAAATGTGATCCTCCAGACACAATGTAAATAAGTCAAGAGAGAATACATATATTCTGAGTGTATACATCTCCGTGCTCCTGTGTTGAGTTCCTTTCAATTTTTCCAACTGGGAACATATTGACTATCTTATTTTATTGCATAATAAAGAACTGAGGCCACCATCACAGTTTTTAAATAATTCAATCCTCTGGTAATCTGTCCACTTTAAGATACTGTTGCAGGCTTTAAGTGATGACTTGCTGGGAGAGAGACTGCTTGCCTACATTTCAGAAACACAGACTAACTCCAAATTGACAGTGGGATGTTTAATATTTATTCCTTCAAGCCCTGTGTGCTTGCATGCCCAGATACATGTGCATACACAGATATGCTGTTGCACAGTATTGTTTACTTTTCAGGTGGCTGTTTTTTTAATATAAAAAAACCCCAATATTTCAGATATTGTTTTATTCAGTATTAGTATACTTATTAATATTTGGATATTTAAGAAGCAGCATAGAGTTGGGCCTTGAAGTCCAGGGGAGGGAAAACATTTCTGCAAATGTCAAACCAGATCTAAAATATGCATAATACTGACTGGCTAGCCCAAACGATCTTGCCAAGAAATGCCCCTTTGGAGCAGTCTTGCACTTCAGAAAAGTTCCTCTTTTTATTAATAAAAGCTGACGAATGAATGGATAAATTACACACACACATATATCCCTGTGTAAAGCTCCTTGAGATAGATGTAAAAACCGATTCAATCTATCAATAACAATAGCTATCAAAAGGTGAACAATACGCCAGAATTATGCAGACGGAGGGACAAGGCACATGCTGGCTGTGTGTCTGCCATTTCTGCTGCGAAGTCAAGAGGAAGCCAGTCAGTATGTCTTGTTCGCTAATATGCTATCTGAGATCTCTGGCTTCACCGATAGAATGCTTGTATTTAGAACAAGAGCAACAGGAACAACAAAAGTGTTTCCAAATTTCCAAAGCCTTTTATGAACCCTAGAGCAGATATCTAGACTAGCTTTTCTGTCCCTGCACTGGAACTGAAAACAGAGGAGAAAATTGAGTTAGAGAGACTTGGAGAGTAGAGACTCTGTAATATTGAGCCATATATGAATTTCGAATCCCCACGGCGGGGTGCGCTCCCGTCGTTCGGTCCCAGCACCTGCCAACCTAGCAGTTCGAAAGCACCTCTGGGTGCAAGTAGATAAATAGGGACCGCTTACCAGCGGGAAGGTAAACGGTGTTCCGTGTGCTGCGCTGGCTCGCCAGATGCAGCTTGTCACGCTGGCCACGTGACCCGGAAGTGTCTGCGGACAGCGCTGGCTCCCGGCCTATAGAGTGAGATGAGCGCACAACCCTAGAGTATGGCAAGACTGGCCCGTGCGGGCAGGGGGACCCTATGAATTTAGGATTCTATATTGCTGGGGTATTGCCTTCTCAGGGTTGGGGTGGAGGGTATACTGCTTCTTTCCTGTCATCCCTCGAGGATAGATCACAAATAATGATGGAGGAGATGGTTTCTCCATCTCATGGCCTTTAGCCTGCAGGGTGGTTCAAGGGTCTATCTTGGTGCCCATTAATATCTACATGAAACCACTGGGTGGAGTTGCCTGGAGATACAGGGTGTGGTGTCATCAGTACACTGACAACACCCTACTCTTATCTCTCCTTCCCATCTAATCCTAGGAAGGCAGTAAAAGTTGTGAATGGGTGTCTGAGGTCTATGATGAAGTGGATGACAGTAGAAAAACAAACAAACCCTAATCCAGAGAAGATGGATGCGCTGTTGACTGGAAATATGGCTGGGCCTGGAATAGGTGCACAGTCTATTGTGAATGGGGTTCGACCCACCCTGAAACTCAGATTTGCAATAGGATGTCCTCTTGGATTTAGTGCTGCTCTGAGAGGGTGACAGCAGCCAAGAATGCTTTTTACCAGTGATAATGCCAACTGCATACTTTCCTGGATACAAACAGCCTCGTCACAGTAATTCTTGCCTAATTGCTATAGTGACATCCAGATTACTTTACTGGAATGTGGTCTACATGAGACTGCCTTTGAGGAGTCTTAGAGGCTAAAACTGCTTTGGAACACCAAGATTTTGCCTGGGGCAGTCCTTGGTAGACATGGAGTACCAATTGTGATACAACAATGGCTTCCAGTTGGTTTCTGGGCCCAATTCAATGTTAGCTTTGACCTTGAAAGGGCTAAATGGTTTCGGTCCATAATATCTGAAGACTAGGGGCTTTTTTTGCAAGTGTATTCTGCAAAATATGTCATTGATTCAATAGCATGCCTTAGTGGTGGACTTAGACTGTAGTATCTACACATAACCCCACTTTATTAGTTGTTCTGCATTGCTTCCCCAACTTTACTATACTATTGCCATCTGGAGGGGCACTCTGGCACTCTGGCACACACACACACACACACACACACGATAAAAATTAAACCATAACAGCTGTAGTATCAAAAAGATTTCAGCAGGATGTTGCGGGACATGTACTGATTGGAAACAAAGCAGTGTGTCTGCCCCTCAAACCTGTGTAGGTGCAAACAGTATTGAAAGTGAGATTGCAATTTTTTTTTAAAAGACATCTGGCGGGGCCTGAAGGTTATCAACACCTGAAGTTCTCTCTCTCTCTCTCAGACACCTTGTTCTCTCACCTTCTGTCATACAATGGGCAGTTACCTAGGACAGGGCCTTTTCATCAGTGGCACTAAGATTGTGGAGCTGCCTTCCTAGGACTCACTTCGCAGTGGATTTATAGTAACTAGATAGAAGCTGTTCAGAGGGTCTTTGGGGACTTCTGCTTTTATTGTATTTTTACCACCTAAAAATACTTTTTTTGCTGCCTTTTGTTGCTACTTAACCAGTTATAGTATTCTTTCTTCTGCTGTTTAATTATTTGCTGATTAATGTTTGAGTTGCATCCAAACAAATTTTACTCAGACCAGACCCATTGAGATGAATGGAGCTAAGTAAGGCATGGCTTTTAATTTCAATGGGAGAAATGCATCTCAGCTTGCCAGATAAAATAGTGTCCCTTCTCCTCCCCTTGTGTGCTGTTCCGGGGGGAGGGGGGGAGGCAAGAAATCTGTATATAAAATAATACTAATGCCATTTTACCTACATTATTTGCTGACGATCAGGCAAATGACTGGAGTTTTTTCTTGCAGCATCAGGCAGTTTCTTTGGAACTCAGTGGCATGAGATACACCCTCAATACTGGACAAAGTATCAGGTCTGGGAATGGCTTCAGCACCTTTTGGACACCAACCAGCTGGATGCCACCTGCATTCCTTTCCAGGAGTTTGATATTGGTGGGGAACATCTGTGCAACATGAGTTTGCAAGATTTCACCCGAGCAGCAGGCACAGCTGGGCAGCTTCTTTACAGCAGCCTTCATCACCTGAAGTGGAATGGTAAATAAAGCACACTAAAGTATCAGGGATTCAAGACCGGATGTATACAATTCTGTAAATTACTTGTTCCTGCATTGCACATCATTGTTCCACGCAGAATTTGCTTCCAGGTCTGATGAAGTAGCAGCTGTGTCTCTTGTGGCTGGATTCTGACGGTGCAGTCAGGGCTGTGGGTGTGAAAGATCGTACTGCACAAAACCTTTGCTTAGTGAGAAATGATGAGTTCAGTCATGTCCTGTTCTCCCATCTCTCAAATTTTACTAGCACCCCCTTCAGTTTTTTAAGGAGAAGCTTTCTTCACACCAGGTGTGGGGAACCTCTCTCAGTCAGAAGACTGTGTGCCTGGGTGGTGAGCAGGGCTAGAGGTAAAAGTGGTCAGAACAATGGTGGTGACTTTTACCTTTGTACAGTAGGCTACCGTGCAGATGTCAGGGTTTTTCACACACAGCACGCCTCTCCACATTCCCTCCGTTCAGACAAGAGGCATAAGCAGAGTTCAAGAGCACAGTCCAGCCGGGCAAAAACACTCAAAGAGGACGAGGAACAGAGACAGTGAGGGGTGTGTGGCCTGGAAAGAGTTCCGGGGACCAGATAGAGAGGACAGGAGGGCCACATTTGAATTTCGGGCCTGAAGCCATAGCAGAGACACTAGCTTCTCCAGAGGATCAGGCCCCCCAATGTGATGCTGCGCAACATTATCTAAATATTGAGGGGGCCAAACTCCCTAAATTAGGGGAGCCATAAGTGTCTCGGTCCCTAGGAGTCAGCACCTTTAAGCCCTACCATTTCCATTGCTTTCTAACTTTACGTGCTTCATTGACATCCCTCCTTAAAACTTGTATGTGAACTTTAAATTCAGTGTTACCGGGATAACATTAGCTTACCACTCAGTTTCTGTATTGATATCTAGTATGCTAATGATATGCAGGTTAAAACATGCCCTTCATGTTCCTTGAAACACCTTGGCATGATATCTGCATAAGTGCAGCATTCATTGAGCCAGGCAAATTCATCCTATTTCAGGTTTTACGAACCTCCAGCATCTCTTTTATATGGTAATCAGGGCAATATCAGGTCTTTAAAATAGCTGAATATCAAGACAAAGTTTGTAGCAAGGCCTTCACATAGCAAACTGAATAGTGCTGAGCATGAAATCTATGCCTCAGAGACCATGCTGGCAGTCTCAGAATGGCCCCTTTAGCTGTACCAAGTAAATAGGGAGGTGCAAGCCAGGACGTGTGCAAAACCAAAGAGGATGGGCAGGGAAAACACTGAATGTTTCAGGTAAATATAAACCTATAACTTTGCAAAGGTTTTATATAGACTCCCAGCCCTTGTGAATCTGAGACTTGAAAATGTATTTTCATGAATTCAAAGTGCTGCATTAGGATATGGTTGCTGAATGGCTGAGGGCTGTTTGCTGCACAAAAACCTCTCACCCACAGGTGTGTTTGATACATGTGTTTGCTTGCGATTTTGATGTGTGCATGCCAAGGAGCTGGGGGGGGGGAAGAATCCTGTGGGAAGACACTCTCATGCAGAAATTATAAAGCAAGTGACTGCTTTTCTTTCTCGTTCTGCTATAAACCAGTGACTAATAGAGCTGTCTGATAGCATTGGTTCTTCTTGTCGAAACAGACCAATTGGTTTGGTTGTGTGTGTTTAAAATCCTGCCCATATGTATATTGAGCTGCCCTTTGCATTCTCTTGCAGGCCAGTGTGGAAGTGAAATGTACCCTTCACACAATGTCATTGTTAAGACAGAACAAACAGGTGGGTGATGCCAGCAATATTGATGTCCCAATCAACTGCAAACAACTCCAAATAGATATGAATTAAGATGATGAGAAGAAATAAAGACAGGCACATTTATCTGGAAAAGGACAGGGAAGCACATTTTGATGTTACCAAAATAATAATAAAATAATAATAATAATAATAATAATAATAATAATAATAATATGCACTAAATATAAGGGAAATGATGTGAGTCAACATTAAGCATTTTAAAAGTTTCATTGATCACAATAGATGAGAGTCAAGCATGTTCTTGTATTTCTTGTTGAAGTCAATGGGACCTCTTGTGGAGCGACCACATAAAGAAGGGCCTCAAATTATGATTCCGTGTCGGTTCATATGGGGAGAAGCGTTTCTTGAGGTATTGTGGTCTTGAGCCGTTGAAGGTTTTATAGGTCAAACCCAGCACTTTGAATTGGGCCTTGAAACTGATTGGCAGCCAGTACAGTCAGGCTATGGTACAATGCTACTGACATAGTATATGTTCTTATCAAGCTTAGCTTTTTTTCAGATATCCCTTTCTTTAGTAGAGATGCCATGGCAGTGCTGGAAGTGTAAGGGAACATTTTGAGCTTCACCTTTAGAACTGAAGGAATTTGATACTAGTATTGGCAATCTAGACAGGGCAAGTTCACCCAAGTCAAAATCCAAGGTGAGTGGGGATACCACCCTCCACCAGACCTGAGGGCAATGGGCTAGGTTAGGGAATGCTGGAGATGTTGAATGGCTGACACAGCTCTGTCCTTCGGTGCACGTTGTGGCTTTCCCCTTACCAACAGATTTGTCATTGACTTTAAACTAAAGTGAAGAAATAAAAAGGAAACAAAAAGTGCACACAAAGTACAAACCCCCCTGTAATTCCGTACATAATTGTCGAGCACAAAGGCATATGAGATGAAATTATCATTCTAATACATACACATTTATTTATAACTGACTACATTAATACATTCCATTCCCAGTGTCGTTTTATTTGTTCATACACAATCTATGGCTATGAGCAATCTGCTCGCATGTTGCAAGAGTTGCCATATTTTCTATCCATTGATTAAAGGGGACTGGTTGAGTGGAATGCAAGCAGACCAATAGTTGGTGGAGACAAAACGAATGACTGGCAGAGCCAAGTCATTGAAGTCTTGTCCCCATCCTTCCTAGTCTTGTCCCCTGACAGGCAGTGCCATCCCTTGGACTAGCTCCATTCGCTCTATTGGACAAACCTCCACTGATGATGACTCTTTTTAACTTTCTGTAAAGGAAACAAACCGAAGCAGAATGCTACTGGAGATATTCTGATACCGTGCAGAACTGCAAAAATAAAAATTCTTCCAAGCCCCTCTTGGGCGAGGCTTGTTTTTAGAGCAAACAATGGGTAGATCAGGTGTCTAAACAACAAGAGGGTGTGTGCTATTTGAAGGACATAGGTTTGGGATGCCCAAACACGTAGCTGGTAAGCAGAAGATCGGCTAAATTCCTGTGTCATAATTCTTAACCTAGCCAAGAACAATGACTTAGTAAGTGATTCATTTTCAGCTGTAATCACATTCATGGCTTTAAAAGACAAACCGATCCCCAAAATCACCTTGTATTTTGAAATACAAACAAAAACAAACTTAACAGCTCCAAATAAGTAACATGTGTTTGTACAGATTGATGATACTTTTGTAACAATACAACGCTAGTATCATGCTTGTTATCTGTGTGCTACGGCTCAAAAGGAAATTTTGGAAGGTTTTCGAAACCTTTGTGTTTTTCTCTGTTGCAGCAATACATTTTGCTTCTTGCAGTTCATTGTGAGGGTGCCAGGTCAAGACTTTAGAAGTTCAGGGCAACTTCAGGCTCAGTTTCAAATGTAGAACATGTGCAGAATTCTTCAGTTACAATCTCTCTTTCATCGTCAAATCACTATGAAACCACTGGGCCATATAAAATGCACTGGGAATGAATTTAAGTGAGAAAGGTTTGAGCAGGGCCATACCTATCCTCTTGCCAAAGCAGTTGTTGTCACACTGGTGGGGGGGGGAGCATCCTCATGGGACCAGATCTGGCTGAAGGAACAGCGACCTGGACCTGGGTGTAGGAGTTATGATGATTGGCCAAGGAGAGCTAAAGTTCCTTATCTGCAAAGGGTACCCAACAAGAAAGATCATGACACATGGAGGGCAGAATACCTCACTCTAAACATCTAGACCACTCAGTTTGCCCCACTACTTTTTTAAAAAACAAGTGAGACATTCAAATGCTTAAGTTTGTCTGGATTTGTGCTGTGTATTCTGAATATGGAGCATTTAAAAAGTTGCCTTACCAACATTGACTCTTGTTTCTTTTTGTTTGCTTGTTTAAGATCCATCTTTAATGGCGTCATGGAAAGAAGAGAACTATTTCTATGATAGTGGATATGGTGGCACAGTAGGTAACTAACCCAACAACCTATAAAGCATTTTCAAATGGTTCTGGGATCCTCTTTTAACAAGACATTACATCATTGTTACTCTTTCTTTTTGAATCCTTAGAATTAGTGGACAGCAAAGCGTATTGTCGAGCACAGATTGCAATCAACGCTACTAGTCACCAGCCTACTGGTAAGCATATTTAACATCTTATGATTTACAGTGGTACCTCAGGTTACATACGCTTCAGGTTACATATGCTTCAGGTTACATATGCTTCAGGTTACATACTCTGCTAACCCAGAAATAGTACCATGGGTTAAGAACTTTGCTTCAGGATGAGAACAGAAATTGTGCTCCTGCGGTACGGCAGCAGCAGGAGGCCCCATTAGCTAAAGTGGTGCTTCAGGTTAAGAACAGTTTCAGGTTAAGAATGGACCTCTGGAATGAATTAAGTACTTAACCTGAGGTACCACTGTAGTTCAGATGCTTCAAAACCTGGGCAGAGTCAGACAGCCACCTCATGATATCTGATTTCTCCAAAACTGGAATGAATATAAACATTGTTTTGCATGTGCATGGTTCGTTGCCAGTTTTGCGCATGGTTCAGTATGTATATAGACTTCAGAAAAACAGACTTGTCTGTGATCTGAGAATTAGAATGAGAGTGGCTGTCTCTGTCTTGATTCTTCCTTACTACATTACACTTTGAGTTGGTCAGAAATAGAAGACTATGAGCTGAATCACACCTGCACATTCATCACAAGTGATTTATTTATTTACTGTTCCATCCCCCTCCTTCTTCCTGCAATGGGTTCAAGGTGGCATACATGGTTTTACCCTTTTCTATGTTATCCTCAACCAACCTTGTGAGGTAGGTTAGGCAGAGATACGGTGACTGGCCAAGGTCAACTAGTGGATGACTTAGGATTTGAACTTGTCTTGCCCTTGTCAAAGCCCAGCACTTAACCACTATGGCACAGTGTGCCCATGCTGTGGAATTTGCAGTGCTTAATGGCTTCCTTTCTTGCAGCTGTTAAGGCACAGGAGCTCTGCCGGCAGAAAAAGATGGCCGTCCTATTTTCAAATAGGCTATTAACAATGGCAGAAAAAATGCATTTGAGTGTTTAATGTCATTTTGATCTACAGCAGCTGTGCAACCTGATTTATCTCGGTGCACACACTTCAAACAAGTGAGCTCAGCAATTGATCACTCTTTCCCTTTTGCTGTCCACCCATTCTCATTAAAAATGGCTGCTAGCGCTTCAAATCTTTCCTGACAGTGATGAGATTCAGTCAAGCTCCCTGTTGTGGTGTGTTTATCCACTTCCTTGTTGGGCCTAGAGAGGTAGGATGGCATGCCAAGGCCACAGCGCTGTAAAAACCAAAGTTGCATATTCTGAAAAAAACACCGATGTGGCTTTTCCCCTGAATCATATGCAATTACTGTGAGCACAGTTCATAGTGTTGGTGCTGACCTTTAAAGCCTTAAATAGCCTTGGCCCAGTATACCCGTAGGAGCGTCTCCTCCCCTATTGTTCAGCCTAGACACTGAGGTCCTCCTCTGAAGGTCTTCTGGTTCCCTCACTGCAAGAAGCGAGGTTACAGGGAACCAGGCAGAGGGCCTTCTTGGTAGTAGTGCCCTCCCCGTGGAACACCCTCCCTTCAGATGTCAAGGAAATAAACAACTATCTGGCTTTCAGAAGACATCTGAAGGCATAAGCAGAAAATAAAAAATAAGATAAATAAAAGAGAGGGACACCAACAATATGTCTAGAAATAGGGTCAGTGCCAAGTAATCAGGGTATATGCTAGCAATCCTGCCCACAAGCTGGTCATACACAAGGCAGCCAATGACCTCTCAGTGATGGAGACACACCCCAGCACACAATTCACACCCTCACCCACACCAAGCAAGATGAAGCCACAACAACACCAGTCCACAAGGCCCAGATGTACAACCAGTCCTCAGGCAGGGATTATAATATCTTTATCCAGCCACTCTTTTAGGAGCATAACACATGCTCAAGAGATGGAAGATGTGATATGCAGCAAAGTGCCCAATTGTGTCCTGGGAAACTTACACACCCCTCCCTGGGACAAGAGTTTCAGACCCACCCAGAGAGGAAAAGAGCCTTTTGCCAATTGGCCAAGGGGAAGGACCGGGAGATGCAATAAGGAGAGTCACAAACATACGCTGACATCAGTACCTTCTAGTGTCTCACTGTATAGGTTGGGAAGCAGGTGAGGAGAGTTTGAGGCCCATTGGAGGATGGGGAAATATGCCCCAATAACTGTTTGCATGCCTGGGAAAACAAAGCAGTTGCGTTAGGAGTGAAGGATGGAGGGAACGTCTGATACTTCAACCCACACTGCAGACACCACTAAGCAGCAATAGGCAGCAATAAGACAAATCACAGAGCATTTGTCTTCCCTGCACCTGATTTCAACAGTCGGTCCTCAGCGCCAGGAGCACAGAGGTTGCAAGAAGACTCTTAGGTGGGAAGAACACCTACTGTTTTCCATTCTTGAGTTCTTTGGCTCAAACCCAGAGTGCACTCTCGTAAAAGGAAAAGGAGAGGCCCTCCCACATTGAGGCACATTGAGCCAACAAATTGAGGAGCAAATAGCCTGGTTCCTCCATGTTCCAAGCAACCCCTTTTGCCTACCACTCCTTCTGGTAGGTAAATACAGCCCCATGCCACACACTCCCCATGGCAGTGTGCTATAATTAGGTACTGAGTCCTCTGTTCAGGCCATTGATGTGGGCACAGCTATTTTTGAATCCGTGCCCTTTTTGACTGAAGTCAATGGGGAGGGGGTAATTTCCTGCCCCAGGTCTGGATCTAGTATAAATTTGTGCTGCCAACGGATCTATGGGCATTGATTGAAGAGGTATAGGATCTGGAGCAAGGGTGCTTTCTCCCTTGTGCTGTGCACAAACTTCATGCAACTCTACCCTTGTTTTAGCTGCATTACAGGCATCTCTTCAACCACAGAGCAGCTCTGCCAACCAGGATATTCTGCAGGAAGGAATCACAGGCATTCCACTGGTTCAGAGGTTTTCAACCTTTTGGGGTCTACAGCTCCCTTGACCAACTACATTCTTGGGGCTCAGGAGCCCTGTTATATCACCCCTTGCCTACAGAGCCAACAGCCCCTCACCACTTTTTGAACACCCTCCCATGTGGAGTGTTCCCTCAGTCTCCTCTCCCCACTCCTTGGGAGTCCTCCAGGCAGCTACTGGTCTCTGAGCTGCCCACCCTGCCCCAAAGAGAGGTGCCTCCTCACACTGCCCCACAGGGGCCTGGGAAGCACCCCCTGGCTAGCCCCAGAGGCACCATTCACCCGGGGAGCTTGGGCACCATTCACCTGGTGAGCTTGTAGGCAGGGCTGCTGTAAGAAACAGCCATGCAAGTCTTTGGGAGGCAGAGATGTGAAAGACCATCAGAGGAGGGAAGGAAGGAAGGAAGGAAGGAAGGAAGGAAGGAAGGAAGGACAGAGGCCAGTGTTGCCCATGGCACCCTGACCATCATTCAAGGCACCCCAGGGTGCCATGGCACACTGGTTGAAAACCACAGCACTGGTGTATCTGTCATGATGGCAACATAGCTGCCATTCTGCTGGCACAGCAGGGCTTCTACCGGATGCAAAAGCCTATTTAGCGAGCAGAACTCCAGTATAGGATTGTGCCCTAATTTCAATAGAATAAAATAACTAGATAATTCAAGAGTAGTGAGGATTTCTTTTCCCTAGGAGAGTAAATTTAAATCCCTCAGAGTCTCATTCTCAGGGCAAAATTCCCAATGGAATTCGGTTTTAAGGCTGGTGTGCTTCCATAAAGGCAGGACTGTCAAGCTTTAATTAGATTTTGGGACTTTCCCACAAGCTCAGCAAATTGTACAAGAGGATGGTGTTCTCTGAACTTGACAATGCAGAAGGAAGCACAAATGTAATTAGCTGGTTTTCAGCTGTGGCTACAGATTTCCAGCAGAACCTAATGGAAGGCCATTTTCCTGGAGTGCTTATCAGTGTTGCAACAAAAAAACGTTCGGACAAGTTTGTGCAGAAAGCCTGGCAGTTACTGTAAGTCATCTGCACATGCAAATAGCTAATTTCCATTGGTGACTGTTTATACATGTGTGTAGGTGGAAGAACACATGTGGGCTTTAAGCTTCTCTGGCACTGATCTCCTGCAAGGCAGACACAACACAGGTTCCGGGCACTCGGTGATGTGCCACTGATAAATGGAAACAGATTGCCACTAGTAGATTAGGCAGGCAAGCCTTCGGCTTCTTTGGCTTGTTTTTAAAGTAGTGAGTGTTCAGCATACTAAGTGTGCTAAGTGAACAGAGAGAATTTCTACCTTTCATTACTCTGGAACTTCTAGTGCTCAGAAATCCGATTTCCCTCCCTCCTCCCTCCGGCATACTGTTGCATCAGTAAGGGGAAGGCGGACTTGTCCATGTCCAACTGACAACAATTCCTAACAACATTGTCTCTTATGCCCCTGAGACTTGTTGATTGTCCCACTTCCTGAAAAATAGGGATGGCTGAATCTGTCAATTTTGCTTTCTCCATTTTCAAGTTGGTTCTCCACATTCCACATCAAATTATTTTAACTGATTTTTTTTTACTGTGGATTTCTCTTATTAAAAACATTTTTGTATTAGGTTTTGACTAATATACCGTTTTGCAAAGTGATTGCCTCTCTTTGTATGTTCTTTTCAGTAGTATAGGCACCTCCATGCATGCTTTGCTCTAGTGTATTCATTTTTGTACACCTTAGTTGGCTGGGAAACTGCATTGCAAAATTCGGGGACAATGCAAATTTCAAAGGGTGGTTGTGTTTCAGTCCGTGTATTGTTTCAGAAATTGCAAATGAGGTAGGTCTGCCTGTAACTAGTGAACTAAACCCAATTTCTCCCCCATCCATACTCAGAAACACACATTATGTGCTCAGGTTGGTTGAGCTCAGTGCTTTTCTTCTAGGGGGGAAAAAGTGCCAGTACTGTGTACTCTTCAGTACCCCTAGGAAAAAAGCACTGGTGAGCTAAAGGGGAAAGGTGCCTTGTCCTGTGGCTCACAGCTGAGGCTGAGTAGCTGGGAGGCAAGTATGAAATGGTGGAGTTTGAGATAGAGGGTATCGAGCCAGGCAGTGTTAGGAACAGCCTAAGGGAGACCATATATGTCAAAGGTTGGTGTCTGGAGTTGACTGCCTTTGGTAGATGGCAGAAGGAGGACAGCACATCGGGGTGGTATTTTGGAGTGTCAGAGTCTTGGAGACTTTGTTCTGCTGGGGACGGCAAGAGAGACAGCAGCTAGAACATATTATTGTTCTTGATACTATATTGAATACATAATTTCCGTATTTTACATTGTATATTTGTTGTTTTGTTGTGTGAGTTGCTTTGAGTCTTATTTTAACTATAATAAATCTAATCTAATCTAGGCTGCATTCACACAGCACTTTCTTCTATTTCCCCAGGGTTTTCCTAACTGTGAATTTCTGCATTGTATTTGAGTTAACAAATGAAGTAAAAGCCACTTTCATAAATCTAGTGGAATGTAGTGGGAGATTAGCACTCATTTTTGTGTTAATTCCTTCTGAGTAAAAAATCTATTTGCAGCTCCATTAACCCAGAAAACTACAGGGGTAAAATGCTGAAATTTGGGGTGCTGTACTCGCATACAGTTCCTGCTGTCTTTATGGGGGAAAGATGGGGAAACAGAAACACACATGTTTGGAAAAGATGAGGGAGTAGCAATGCTGTCCAATGTCCACTAGTATGAATGAAATTTAGTTTAGCATGCCAGTATATCAGTCAAGAAGCCACAGTTCCATAATTCAACAGGTACCACAGTGTGAAAGGCATATTAGAAAAACAGGACAGAAGAGCTGACATTATAATCAGGAAAACTAATACAATATTTTCCATCCACCCCTGCTATTTCGCCACTACGCACACTTTGCATTAGATCAGTTACCAGAAAATAACGAAGGAGGAAGTCTTTAATATAATTTCTGGAAAATAATGGGCTTACAGAGGATACGACAAAGGGTGTGGCAGGCCTAGCATTAGTGTGTCATTTAATTTCAGTTTGGTCTGAGATAAGTTTTCCTCCCTCCCTCGCAATATTAGAACTTGGAGTTATTCCTTCATCAAGTTGACTGGCAGTGGGTTCAAGTGTGAGAAACGGAAGTATTGCTTCACCCAGTGTGCCCTCCACTTCTGGAGTTCACTAATGCGGTGATAACCATAAACTTAGAAAGGCATATACATATGCATATACATATATATATCTGAGGCTTGTTTGTTTAGTATGAAGGTCTGGAGAGGTTTACAGGATTCCTTGGGGTCAGGAACCAAGAACGCTAGGCCTGGGAGTGGAAGACTTTGCATGAGCATGCCTGGCACCAGCAGTCAGTCAAGCATTAGCCAAGAGCCCCAGTGATCAAAAGGGCCCTTCAGTGGCCTGACGTGGCTGTTATTGCCCTCATTGCTTGCCCCCGGGGTATCTGTTTTTACCTTGGGCAGGTAGCACTATTGCTTTTGAACAGGAGCCAGCCTTGGTTCTTATCTGTGGTAGCTGCCTGCCATTTTAATTTACCTCAGATGCAATGACTCAACCTTTAGATCCAGGGCCAATGTGTTTTGGATCAATTAAAATGGTAGGCTGCTACTATGGATAGGAGCCAAATGAACCTACCCTATTCTTTTGATTGTATTAGTTTTAAACTGATTTTAATATTGTATTTATAAAATGTATGTAACCTGCTCTGGGGCCTTGTGGTGAACGGTAGGTAAGAAATCAAATTAACCTGCACCATTATGCTAAAATGCTGTCTGGATACCCAGCAAGGAAAGCAGTAATTGCTGCTGCACAAAAAGGCAAGTTGCATAGTGTGTGTGTGTTGCCAAGCAGGGGAGGGGGCATCCATGGTGAGGACCCTCCAAAATTTGCTGCTGTCCTAGAGTCCCCCTACCCACTTTAGCCCTTGTGTATCCAGGCTGAACACCTGAGGAGGTGAATATCCAACAAAGCAAGCCTAACATTGTCTATATGTTTTTCCCTTGCTGTCTTGGTGCTAATCATTATCATTTCTGCACCCTTCCACCTCTGCTAATTCAACTTTCAAAAGGCAAAGGGTTCAAAGAAAGGGACTGGGAAGAAGGACAGGAAGATTGTGCCTCTTTAATGAATTACTAGTTATTTTATGCTCCTTTCTGGTGTTCAAGCAAAGCACCTGGTTCCTGTTCTGAATGCTCCAGCTACTTCTTCACTTGACTACTATAATACACTATCCATTGAACTGTTATAAAATGCAGTTTGGAAACCTCAAAATGCAGCAGTTCTGCTTTTAGCTGGAACCAAATCGCAAGCTCACATAGATCTTGTGTGACCTTTACTAGCTGCCAGTTTGTTCCTGGGCTCAATCCAAGTTGTTGGTTTTGACCTTTAAAGCCCAAAATGGTCTGAGCCTGGGTTAATCTGGGAGTTTCTCTCTCCATATATTAGTTAGAGCATTATATGTTAGATGGGGAACTGTGGTACTTTACATATTATTGAATTCCAGCTCTCGCCAGCCACTGTTAGCTGAGCCTGTGGCCAAGGATGATGAGAGCTGTAGTTCAGCAATATCTTCTGGAAGGCCACAGCTTCTTCATCCCTGACTTGGATCATCTGGATAATATTGCCCCTTGTTGCGGTACTAATATGCATTTTAATTCGCCCCCCTCCTCCCAGTGCTTAAAAAATAACCAGTGACAAGGGCCACAGACTGAGGATTGTAACTGAAAGAAATGTAATAGTTTATTGATACACTATTGTGTTTATTGATAGGTAAAGGAATATTAAATAAATAATATTATGAACTTAAATAATTGCATAACAAACAAAAAGGGAAAATCAATCAATGTAATAGACAACACAAGGCAATGTAAATAAACAATAAAAAAGACAGATGATGGCTTGGGTTGTGAAAATTCCTCTGGGTGAAATTCATTGGACCTATTTAGTGGATGCATTTAAGCACTTTGGGAAAACATTTTTGTTCTTTGAGCCTTTTGTGATTTTGGAAAGTGACAACTTTATTAGGTTTCTGCTGCTTTGTTTTCAAACAGATTTGAAGGTTTGGCACTGAATGAAAATGTACTTTTATGCTATGTTTCTTCATCTTGCAAGTTACTTTGACAACAGAATAGAAACAATACATTTTTGTGTAGATAAAGCTTATCATGTGATTGTTTCTAGAACAGGGGCATGAGTGTGTGTGCCAGAACAGGTAGAAGAACTGACCTACCCCCCTTTTCTGTTACAGAAGATGCTTCAGGGCTGAAAAAAACACAAGACCACCTTCCAAAATCTCACAGCAAGAAACACAGTAAGTTAGCTACTACAGAACTATTGCCCTGTAAGGTGGGGCTGATCAAATATTTACTGACATAACAGATAGCGAAGAGAACCAGATCCAACAGAAAATGAATTGCACACAAAATGCCCACTGTAAACTTCATTAGAATTTAAATGTCTGAGAAAAATACCTGAAGGTCCTACTCTATTACACTCTTTTAAGCATTATCTCCTAGGGATAAATGGCAACATGATAGCCTTGGCTATGAACATCCCCTTCACCTTCACTGTCCAGTCAAAGTAAGGAATGCACTTTAAGACATTTGTTTGAATGTTGTAGCTTGCCAGCTATGCAACTTTAACCTTCTCCCACTGTATCTGGAGATGAGTTAGGTGGTTAGACAACTACAATGCTCAAAAAAACACACAACTGCCCTTTTTATCTGTTCCTATATTCCCATGAGGGTGACCATTCAGAGTCTGATACTAATTTGGGAGTTCTTCTCAGAATGTCCCATTTGAACTGGGCTCAGTTGCATATTTTTCCTTCATTCAAAGCAGACAAGAGTACAGGAAATAACATCGAACGTAACCGATTTGTAGAAAAGACTCTACGATCTGAAATTAGAGACAAAAACGAGTTAGGTATTTGTCCTTAGTGAGAACCTCAATGCTACAAATAAACTTGTAGGAGATGGCTTGTTAGCCAAGATGTCATTCTTTCATAGAAATGTAAACTTTGTAGTGGTAGGCATGGATTGAATCTTTCATTGATTAAACATTTGCCATTGGTGGGGATGGAGGAAATAAACTGTATGTTGTTCTGCTTTTCAAACTGTCCTCAACTAAACAGTTAGTGGGGGGTGTTTTAGGGAAATGTGGCTTGGTTGAGAAGGATCGAGCACTCTCTTTCCCCTTGTCAATTATCCACTGCAAATTGCTTCCCTCTAAGTATGCTTTCAAAGGCAGAAGGAAGAGCCTTTGGGCTTCTTTATACACAGCTGCAGTGTAGCATGTCTTTTGTCTGACACCAAATGATGCTTCCTGTGGTCAGAAAATTTTCTAACTCTCCTAGATATATATGCTTGTCTAAGGACAATATACCATCTAATTTTTCACCTGTTCAGAGAACTATTGGTTATTTTGTATACACAGCATAAGGATGACCTCCTATTAGGAAATGGGGGGGGGGGAGGATTATCCCATGTAGTAGTTGTTGCTGTGGATAACTTTTCATTGTAACACCATTTTATTTTAGCTCCTCGAGGGACTCACTTGTGGGAATTTATCCGAGACATTCTCCTGCATCCAGAGAAGAATCCAGGCTTGATAAAATGGGAGGACCGGTCTGAAGGCATCTTCAGATTCTTAAAATCTGAGGCAGTAGCTCAGCTGTGGGGAAAGAAGAAAAACAATAGCAGCATGACTTATGAGAAACTCAGCCGTGCCATGAGGTAGGTTAACAAGAAGGGAGAAAGTTTGGGCACAGAGTAACTGTGCTTAGTTTCGAATCCTACAGTGTGATCAATGTATTTGATATAGAGCAGGAGAGTTGAGCACGTGGCCCTCCTATATTTTGTCCAAGGCCCATTGGCCCAGCAAGACCAATGGTCCTGGATTTTGGTAGTTATAAGCCAACATTTGGAGGTCACTGCTTCCTCATCCTTGATATGGGAGTTCCAATGAAATATAAGTAACCACACCGACTGATATTTGAAAAACTGTGATGCATGATATTGCAAAATTTTGCATGTAGCCTTTTATTGGCCTAGTGGCCATCACAGAGAATTGTCACAATTCCAACCAAGTTAGGAATACTTAAATCTCCGTGAGTTAATTGGTTTCATTGATTTAAAGTATGCCTAATTTTATATTGATTTCATATTGAGCTGTTACTTTGAGCCTTTGTGTTCAGTAAACTAATGAGTCAATATTTGTTGGGGCAGTGGGATTACACTTGCCTGTTCCTGCTCTGACCTTCACCAGAAAGTGGGTGGTGGGTCTGCCACAGTAGCTTGTGGGTGGAGTTTGGGGTTTCTAGACTGTGTTGCACTCCTGATCACATCATGCAGTGGGTTCTGAATCCCCTCTGAATCAGCCTTCAAATAAGCTCACCTATTTTCTGTTTGGGGAAGAGGAATAACTTAGTTTGCCAAATCCAATTTTAATTTGAGTTCGGGGGAAATTAACCCACCATTCATTAGACAGTTCTGATATATCCAACTTCATTGCTCCTTTTTAACAGATACTATTACAAAAGAGAAATTCTCGAACGTGTAGATGGTCGGAGACTAGTATATAAATTTGGAAAGAATGCCCGTGGCTGGAGAGAAAATGAGAACTAAGGATCCACTTTAAAAACAACTGTACAAATTTTCACCAACAGGAACTTGTCATGGATGTAAATATTTCAGAGACTATTTTCTTCTATTTATGTACAAAAAATTGAGGGAGGACGGGCAGAAATCTACTTCTAATGGGAAGAAGGAACACTATGGTTTATTGATGTTGAAGTTATTTTATTTGACATATGTCCTTCTATGGGGAAAGATGTACACAGTTTTCTGTGACCTATGATATAATGCTGTATGGTTGTGTTTGGGGATGTGTTTTCCTTTCTTGTGAAGACTTTAAAAAATGTATTCCAAGAGAAATGTGATTTATAACAATACTGTGAGAGAAGAATGTACTAAGATGAACTCACAGGGCATTACTTTTTACTTCAGAGCCTGAAAATAAGGACTATTGCTTTCTGCATGTAAGAGAAATTAGGATGCATCTATATATTGCCCTTCCCCAACCTGGAGCCTTCCAAATATTGTAGCAAATGGTCAGTAACAAGGGGAGTTGTAGTCTAAAACATCTGGAAGGCGTGAGGTTATGAAAGGTTGATCTATAATCCTTTATCACAGTGTAAGGGTTGTATGAGAAGATCTGGCCACTCAAATCTTGTGTCTGTTTTAGTCAGGTAGCTGAGTAAAACTGTGGAATATGATGACTGTGGGATATTATTTCTGTAGTCAATGTGCCCTTGACCTGTCTTGGTCTCCGTTCTTGACCCTCAATTTAAGAGATGGGTTCATGTTCCTGGATAAAGACTATTTGTTCAAATAACTGTCCTGGAACATGAGAATCCATGATCTCAGTAAAAGGGTATTCTTTTGTTCTGTGAACCACCCTGAGGCCTCCGGGTATAGGGTGGTATATAAATTCAATTATTATTAATAATAATAATTTTTTATTTTCTTTAGTGGAATTTGATTACCGGTTTTGTGAATGCTTAGCTAGCTTATGAAAAGAAAAAGAAAAACAACTCGTGGTGACAGCCTTCCCCAATCTGGTACAAGTTGTTGAACTGCAACTCCCATCACAATTGACTATGCTGGCAGGGGCTGATGGGAGCTGGAGTCCAACAAATACCTGGACAGCACCACATTGAAGAAGTGGTTGGCTGTTAACTTGAGACACGTTTGAGCATCTTGGGCAATCACTGTGCCAAAATCTCTGTGAAAAAGTCAACTTTTTGGTCAGATATAACCTTCATACAGAGAAGGGCTTTAGTTCTGTGGGAGAGCACATTCTTTGCATGTAAACAATCTTAGGTTCAATTTCCAGAATCTTGCAGTAGGGCTGAGAGGCTCCTGCCTGAAGCCTTGTTGGTGCCAGTCATTGTAGACAATACTGAGCCAAATCTGACTCTGTATATAGTACCTTCTTATGTTTCGACTTAATATGGGTTTGAATCCTGCTCAGATAGAGTAAGAGCAGGATAGAAATCTAACCATATACAAATATATATATATCAAAATCTAACAATGGTCTGATACAGGGGTGGGAGTTTTGGGGCCTGCCAAATGTTTTTGAACTCTGGCAGTCACAGCCAGCATGGCTAATTGCCAGAGATTGTGGAACTTGTGGTATGGCAAAATCTGGAAGGGGCAAGATTATCTACTCCTTGCCTAATACAAACTGTCCATCAAGCACTCAAAAATTCTGTTTCTGGCTGCTATATATACATGTTGGCCTAGTTCTCACTCAGGTGAGATCTTGACTGCACCACATTCCATAGTTGAATTCTCCTCCATACAAAGGCCACTCCTTCCATCTGACATCTCAAGGAGAAAACTGACGTCTCAAGGAGAAGCCTAGGGTAGAACCTTACATCTAATTTCTTTTTGTAACGATTTCTTTGTTTTTCTTTTTTTATGGAAGACCATTCCGTCACATGAGCACTTACAGGCACTGTGAAATGATATGGTCTAGACACAGATTTACCCTATCAGGGGAAATTAGGCAATTGTTGCAAGTGCTAAACTTAAAAATGGTCACTTTGGGCTCATGTATATTTGCCCACATGATTTAAATCCAAACTGGAGTCTTAATTTCAAAGTTTCCTTTTAAAGTTCTTAGATGGCAGGTGATAGCTCGTTTTCTAGGTATATAATGGAAGAATAAAGGAACAGAGGACAGCACAAAACTGTCAAGGCTACTGGGGGACTTGGTCAGGTTTTTACAGACGCAACCAAGTCTTCTACAGCCTTAAAGGTCAATGAGTTGATTATGGTGTAAGCTTTTGTGCCTCCCTCTTTGGTCTTTGCAGAAAAACACACATAGGCATGTCAGGGAGACAACACCTTTTCCTGCTCAGTTATTGCCAAAGCTGTCACCATCAGTTATAGTTATGTGACATTTTTTTACTTTACATAAGGTGGGTGGAGGCAGGTTCATCTTATTTACAAATGAAATCATAGGACTCCAGCCGTCAAAGCAAGCCTTTTCTTCTTGTCTCTTTTTCTTGACTTAACATTTGTTCTGTCTCTGAATCAGATTCCACCACCCCAGCTTGCTTCCTATTGCCATTGTTAACTTCATGGGTCCCCGCATCTAACCAATTATCTGATCCTGCATAAATGTTAGGCAATGGGTTGGGAATTACCAGTATGGAGTGTTTCTGAGCCAATCTATAGTTCTAATGAATGAAACAAACTGAATGGATAATTTTGTACTTCTAATTTATCAGTGCTTGGGAATAAAAGAATAGCGCTTCACGATGGCCCAAATCACACACAGAGCTAAGCAAACTATGGCAAAGCGTTGCCCTGCTTCCCGGAGCTAAGCCATGGTTTAATTTCGCATTACATCTGAATCTGAGCTCACAGTTTGTTCTCCCCAACAAATCATGAATGTGGGGTCAAGAACAAACCCTGGCAATATTCGTGTCTTGTTTGGAGCTTGACAAACCATGAGCCTGGGATCAGACATAATGCCAAACCCAAGCCATGCCTTAGCTTTGGGATAGCATAGCAGCAGGAGGACTTGAGGAGGAGAAAAGTATCTGTACTTTCAGTCATTTATAACTAGCCTTGGCTTGGATAGCGTTACATGCAAACTGTATGCGCCTTCTTCTGTAATATGTAATATGAGAAGCTAATTAAAAGAACTTCTGTGCTACATACAAAATGGCTGACAGTTGTGTTAGTATTTAATTATTGTGTTGGCTCAAATTCAAGCCCTCAGCTGGTTAAATTAGCTGTAGTCCTTTCTGGTTTCTTATTTTGTCCAACACCTTTCTTGCTTTGGAATTCTTGGAAGTAATCCACATTGACTAATGCTGCTATTTCACTGTCACATAGATCTTGTGGTAACTACTTATAATTATGCCATCATGTAAAAATACTTCTTTGATGACAATTTTATGGGAGCTAGACTGTTCCCAGCAGCTCCTCAGTTTGCAGAGATATTGTAATTAGGTGTGAACCTTTAGGACATAAGACTACATATTTACATCGGTAAAATAGTTATTCTCTCGTCCCAGCAATCCCTAGGAACAAAAATTCTATAAGAGTGATTTATCTCAGCACCCCCTTCCCATACTATGCAACAGGGGTGGAGAATCTGAGGCCTTCCAGATGTCGTTGGACTACAACTCCTATCATCCCTGATTATGTCCATGCTGCGTGGGGGCTGAGGGAAAGTGAAGTCCAACTGCACCTGGAAAGCATAGGCTCCCTATCCCGGCTATACAGGAGTCTTTGGTAGAAACTAGCATAAAACCAACATAACTTTGTAGTGTAGAGACGATGAGGAACAGTTGTTCCTCTTATAATGAGCAGGAACTGCAGGAATAGTCTCTTTCTGAGTTCATAAACAACCTTCATTAGATTATTTCTCAATCCTATAATATCAATCCACGATACTGAATAATAGCATCAGATATTTCCTGCTATTATTCAGGACTTCATTTGATTTCAGGACTCTATAGATTTGGAAACAGAAGTAACGTAAGATTTACTCTGCTATAAACAGAGACAATAGATTTATTACCTGCCACAGATCTTGCCAAGCACATGCGGTCCCAGCCAAAAATGAACTTTTTACCATCTTTAACCAACAGGATGTTTATATGAATGTTTATATCATAAAGGCATTTCTGAGATTGCTCTTCTAATACGGTATGTTGGCAAGCAAGGGAGTGGTGATTTTTTTAAAAAACAAAACAAAAACAAAAGGTTTATATATATATAATATTACTCTGGTAAGATTTGTATATATATATTTTATTTTAGCATATTTTTCATATGCATAAAGTTCTATATAGGATAAAGGTGTTTCTATATTTATATTGGTTGCAAGCAAATCACATGGTCAAAGAATTTGTTGTGCAATCTGTCTGTGTTGTTTGCTACCTAAACAATCTTTTTAGCACATTTTTTTGTGTACAGTGCAGTCTGATTCTGTGCATGTTTATTCACAAATAAGTTTCACCTTGTTCAGTGCTCCTCAGTACATGCGCATAGGATTGTAGCCACAGTGAGCTTTTTAAAAGATACTTATTGGGAGCTGCTGAATGTCAAGTTAAATGTTGGGACATTTATATGCTTAGCATTCCAGCTTTCATGTTGCTGAATAATCTCAGTTTGTTGCTCAAACTTTGCTGTCTAAATGTTTTCCAACAGGACAATACTTTGGGTATTTTTGCTTCAAATGTCAGATTAAATACTGTCACAGAAGTGCCATAAAATGCTTAACACTGATTTCTGTTTATGAATGCTAATTAAAACAATGCTTTTCTTTGCTTCCTGTGGTTTTTTTTAAATAAATAATTTGAATTCCCCTCATGGCAGTTGCTTGAGAAAGAAATAATATAGTCTTGATAAGGCAAGATGTGAAGTAGGAAGTTAGAGTCATGGCAGTTTGAGGCATCTCTGTCTTTAGAGAGCTTAGAGGGCTTCAGTTGGAATATAACAGAGCAGAATGAATAAAGATGGGCATTTATTCACAAGTGGGCAACGTTAGCATTTTGGAAGAGGAAATAAATTATCTTTTATTTTATCTGTCACAAATTCCTGACAGAAATGATTCCCATGTTTCAGTTAAGAAGTCTCTTTTAAATTATGACTCATACTGATTTCTGTTCACAATCTCTCTGGGCACAGTTCAGAAAACAACATAAGCCTTCACTGGTAAACATTGGTCCAGCAAAATTAATAATCATATTTCTATTGACATCAGTAGAGACAATGACATTCTCCCAGCTCTCAGTTCATCATATCTATTTCACATCATGTTCTCATCAGCATAACTAAATCTCATCTGTTAATTAGCAACACCTCTTTAATATCAGAGTCCTCTAGCATAACATATACAATTCTTGAGACTGGTAAGATCTCATCAGACCATCCAGCACTAGATGATTCACCTGTTATACTTGCCAGATTACTTTAATAGCTTTGCAATGGATATGTAAAATATTATGAAGCTTCCATGTTGAAATTACCTTCAGGCTAGAAAGCATCTGGGACTTATTTGTCTCATGCCCAGATAGACCTCTCAACAACAAGGCAAATTCTGCAAGACAAATGTATTGATGATAGATAAATAATAGATGATAGATGATAGATGATAGATAGATAGATAGATAGATAGATAGATAGATAGATAGATGATAGATAGATAGATATACCCATAGAACCTTCTCTATAATTTGTAAATATGAGCTAAGGAGAAATTGATTACTCTAACTACCTCCAGCTTCTTGATTTGAATAGGGAACAGCCATTCAGAAAAAAATAGGCAAACATTTCTGAGGATTTTGGTCAAACCTGTTTGAGCTGCTGTGAACTACCCTAGCATTCTAATGATCCAGCTGACATCCAAAGCTTGCATAGTTCTTCAGAGCAACATGTGCAGAGCTAATTGTTGAGATGGGAGGGCAAACAAGGAAGAACCAGGAGAGACCCTTCTGCAATTCCCACCCCATCCGAACTGCTTGCATTGGGTCAACTTTGACTACAGTCCTATGTAAGACATGAGAGAGCACAGGACTTCATTCTCAGCAAATATGCATTGCATCCCATGCTGTCTTAGAATCCCCAACACTGCTGATGCAGCCACCACTGCTTCTTCCATATGGCTGTGCTGGCTAGGGCTTATGAAAGTTGTAGTCCAGAGCACCTTGGGGCAACAGGTTGGAGGAGGCCGGCCGAATGCTACAAATGTATTTCAAGTAAGAAACATCACTGCAAACTAGTTCTTCAGAAAGATACGGCAACACCACAGAAAACACTGCAAGGCAACAGGTTAGCCATGGCATAATCTAAATCTCCCCCATTCAAGCTGAGGTTCAGAAAAAATGGCAGGTATGGAAGTAACTGTGCTTCTGATCATACAGTTTAGCTCAATGTACAGGAATAGTGGCAAAAAGAATACTACCATATTCCCTGTCTTTCACAGCAAGAGCAGGGAAATATTCCTGCAGTGCAAGGAGAAGAATGCATATTGTTGGTGAAGCAGCAGCAATTGGTACAATTCCTTGCCCCAATGGATGTTGTCCCATCAGTCATGTGAGATCACTCTCTTATGAGCTGTAACAGAGCAGATCTTGGATTGGCCTGTAATAGGTATTTAGTAATAAGACTTACAAGATCTGTTGGTTTCATAATTATAAGATATAAGGTTCATTATGTGGTATGCACATTATGTGTGTGCACTCAAGGTGCAACTTCCAGAGTCAAAGAGCAATTACAGCTATGCTGAGTTTTCAGATAGACCTGATAGAGCCAAGTGTATTTTAACTAATATGGGTAGATGTGTTGTAATAGATATTCACCTGTTGACTTCATCCTCTGTTGTTGTTGTTTTTAAATGGCATTGTGCTCATCCTGAATGGCACATCACCACATCAATCACTCAAAGAGCTTGGATGCCAATGAAAAGAAACCACAAGGAAAATGGATAATTGCAACACTTGCAACATCTTGGCTATAGTAGTTCAAAACAATGACTCTGCTGGCATTCATTCTGTAGCTTAGGGATGAACTAAAGTAGATGAAAAACACTGAATTTCTGTAATAGCTCTTAAGTGCTTTGGCAATTAAAGTTGGAAGGATTTTCTCATAGCAGAAGCAATAAGTGACTTCAAGCTACATGCTAAATTCATTCAAGCTATGCTAAATTCATGAAAGCAGTAAGCATGAAAAAGGACTGCTTTTTCCGCTCTGTTGGTGTTGCCAAATCCACAGCCAATAGAGATGCAATGGGGCACCATAGCATCTAGAAACTGTATCTTCATGAAGAGTCAGGCAGCAGATCCCAGCCTTACTGTAGTGAAGTTCTGCTGTGGTTTTCTCTAGTCATTCTCCAAAATTAATGTGAAAAGAAATTGTATTTGAAAATGATGGTGATGAAAAAACATGATGCAGTAACAGACAATAAACCCTTACCACACACACACACACACACACACACACACTTGAAAAGGCCTGGGAGAAGAGGGATGTTTTTGCCTCACACCTAAAGATATGTAATGACGGCACCAGGCGAGCCTCTCTGGGGAGAGCATTCCACAAGTGAGGAGCCACTACAGAAAAGTGGGTTAAAGCACATTTTTGAAGAGTAAATGAAGCAGTATTTAGATGGTTTCACTTTAACATGACTTCTGAAAACAACTGCACAGGCAGTTTTGACTCCGGACACATTTTGAGGTATCAATTTAACAAATAGAATTTATTCCAACAATTCTTCCCAAGAAAACTACTTGGGACAAGGGATGTGGAAGAAAATCAATTCACTTTGCATTTATGGGTGAACTGCTGTAATCTGGGCTTTCCAAAACAGCCCAAGAACCAAAATACAGCCATCCTTCAAAATTCACACATTTCTGAATTTTGCAAGGCAGTTTGCCAGTCAAGGAACTCAAGGTGATCCACGTGGTTCTCTCTTCATATCATTTAAGCTCCACAACAATCCTGTGTGGTAGGTTAAACTGAGAGGCAGTGACTGGACCAAAGACAGCCAGTGAGTTTCATGGCCAAGCGGGGATTTTAATCCTGGTCTCCCAGGTCCTAATCTAACACTAACCACCACACCACACCGGCCATTGTCAGATACTCTCTTTGTGATTCCAGTTTTCTCAGCTCCCCCATATGATGTCCTCCTCCTTTCTTTCCTGATGTGTGTCTACGAATTAATACCTTGGAAAGATAACTAGCGCTATTAAAACAAAACAGAATGACACCCAGGAGATTTCAGTATAACCAATTCTCAGATGCCAATTTAAATGCTAAATGCAGAGTGTCTCAAGAAGATAGCCTTTTCTGCTGAAGAAGCATTTGTTTTTGAATTTTCAATTATGCTGTGGGAAGAGGGAAAGTAGTGTACTTCAGCACTGCTCACAAGCACCAGAGCAAGGTGTTATGAAAGCTATTTTAATACCACCAAAAGCCTCACCTTGTGTGTTTTCCCCTGCCCAAACGGCTTCATGGGATGCTGCTTGTAAGGGAGGAAGAAACCACTGCATGGTGGCATCATGGCACACTGTACATTTTAGAGTAACATTTGTAGGACATGCTCTTATACCATACAATTTATTTTGCCAGCTTGATGCCTTCCAGATGTTTTTGAGTACAACTCTCATCTGCCCCAACCAGTTTGGAGGCACATCTGGAAGGCACAAGGTTGGCAAAGGCTATCATAGAACATGGAATAAGCTGCCTCAAAACATGCCAGACTATGGTTCATTTAGCTCAGTACTTGCACTGGCCTTTGACCAGCAAGGCTCTCGGAGAAAAGTGCATACACCACACCCCTCACCAGGCCATTTTATTAGCAAAAGAATCTTTTACACAGTGCTCGTAAGAACCAATCATATTTCCTCTGAGCATTTCATCAAACCCACGTGGGGAGAAGTTAAACTACTAAAACTAATTAAGCACAAATATTTCTGGGGTAAATAAGTTGAGAACTACAAAGGGGAGAATCTGGCAACCCCGAGGTAATAAACAAGCAATACATATGATAAGGAGGATGGCCAGGAGGACAACAATCACTATCACCTTCATGTGAGATCTGTTTCCTGGCCCTAAGATTAACATCCTAAGATTACCTATTAGAAACTACAAAGACGAAACTGCCCAGTCTTTGAGGACACAGGACGCCTGCCTAAGTGTGTACGTGATTCGTGAAGAGCAAGGAGAAATGGGCAGCAGAGGCAAAAGGGCATCAAAAGAGCATGAATGTAGAATCTTATGGGATTTAATCAGAAATTATCGTCAATATATCAAACCCAGTCAACACAATGCTTTCATCGTGGACACGATGGCTTGATGTATATTCTATAATTCCTCATGGTAATCCCATCTGACCCCTACAAATGTGTTTGTCAGGGTCATCGCAGAAGGAGTTTTTCCACACACACACACACACACACACACACACACACTAAAGTTATGTTGATGAGAGCAGCAGGCAGTACAAAGCAGCTAAAACACACAGTTTTATAAATCTGCCAATTGAAATAACCTAGAGGCCACTCAATCAGAATTATATGAGTTAGTCCCTCAAATCATGAGACTCATTTGAAGTGGTGAGCAGAATTAAATTGAATTCATGCCACAGATTCAATAAACAAACATCTGCATTGTATATGTAATATTTATAATTTATTCTGTTGTTGTTTTTTTACTTGCTTTATGGTAAAGTACGTACTGGTTCTTTTGTTTATCTCATAATATTATTTATATTTGATTTCTGCTCAGGTAAGGGTGATGCTGAACTTCACTGAAAGCAGAAACCATA